AATACTCAGTTGGTTTTCGATAGAGTAGAAAATTTTCAGTTCTATTCTTCAAACCTACCTAAAAACTATTCTTCAGATCTATTTGTATTTTCAAGATACCATGGAAAAAAAGGTGATTCATTCGAGTTTTCAACCACTATAATGCTAGATGATGGCACAGTTATCTTTGAAATTGAAAAGATTACAATGACATCAACAATACAAGTAATGGACCCATTAAAGATTCAATACCCACAAGAAGAATTTCAAACAACATTTTTACAGTTAAAAGATTGTGAAGTTGTAACAAATTTAGAAATGTTCAATCATCAACATACCAACACTGGGCTGGATAAAGAAAATTATTCCAAGTTTATTTCTTCAATCATTTATTTCTACATCAAAAATAAAATACCAGATTTAAAAATAGAAGATATCAAACATAATACCATACAAGTGTTAAGAGATAGATATTTAATGAATCAAAAACATTCAAGACTATTTAATTTTGTATTTGAAACAATTAAAGAATACTATCAACAAGAGTATATTGAATCTGAATGGAATGAAGAAAAACTAGTTTTCTACAATATCTTAACAAAAAGCACTAAAATAATGGTTGATATGTTATTCCCATTTGGGGATAAAGATTTATTAGAAACACCATCGTCCCTATATGATAATGGCCTTTTAGAAGAATTTTATCTCCATCCATACTACACAAGAAATCAAAAAATATTACCAGAAATTCTCGTTGATTCATTGAATCCATTAATCAAGAAAAAGAATGTTATTAGAATTTTAGAGTTTGGTGGTGGAACAGCATCATTATCCTTTGAAATTTTAAATAAAATTAATCAATTATTAAAAAGTAAAGAATCAAATGAAATCGAAATCGAAATCGAATATACTTTTAGTGATGTCTCCCAAACATTCATTTCCAGTGCAAAAGAAAAGCTATCATCCTTTGGTATCGATAATGTTTCGGTTTTATTCAAAACATTGGATTTAGAAAATAACCTTATCAGCAACCAACAAATAAAACCAAACTATTACGATTTTGTTGTAATGTCAAATGTATTACATGTAATCAAGAAAATATCATTTGGTTTAAATGAAATTCATCAAATATTAAAAAATAATGGATATTTACTATTTATCGAACCATTCTACAAATCATTAGTTGGAGATAGTATATTTGGTGTATTTGATCAATGGTGGTCATTTGAAGATACCGAGCTTAGAACCGACAGATGCAGTATGACTGAAGATCAATGGTATAAAGTATTATCCGAAAATAATTTCAAAAACATTAAGGTGTCAAAGAGTGATGGAATTTCAAACATTTTAATCCACTCTCAAAAACAAGAATCTCAGTCTTTTATCAATGCAAACAATAGCAATATAATAGTATATAGTGATATAAATAGTAATAATCAATCATTTATAAATAATCTTTTAAAAGATCAACAAAATCAAGTTGTTATAAATACAATTGAGCAATTTAATAATATTTCAAAATATATTAATCAAAATACAATTATATACTTTACCAAAACTTTTAATCAGTTAAATATCAATAACTTTAAACAAATTACATTAGAATACATTAAAATTGTTCAATATTTACTTAAAAATAAATTAACATCAACAAAACTAGTTCTATTATCAAAAAATTGTTATTATAAAGAATCATCAAACTATTTAGCATCATCAGTAACTGGTTCATTCAGGTTCTTTATAGATCAACTGGATTCATTATTATTATTTTCAATTGATTTTGATGATAAATCACTAATGAATATAAGTAATACTCGACTCATAAATCAACTCATTGATACAATTAATATAGAAAGAGAATTTATTATAAGAGACAACAAAGTTTATATCGAAAGAATAAAATTTGAAACAAATATTTCCAATAAATACATATCAAATTCAATTGAAAAACTTAATTGCAATAATAAGGATAATCTACATTCAATTTTAAATGAAAGTTTGGAATTTCAGTTAGAATCAAAAGAACAATTAGGTGAAGATCAAGTAGAGGTTCAAGTTCAAGCAATTGGCATTAACTATAAAGATTACTTGGTTTATACTAGAAATCTACCAGCAGAACTCATTAATCACGATTCTAATATCAACACTCCAGAATTTGGAGCTGAATGTTCAGGTATAGTTAAATCAGTCGGTAAAAATGTAGATAATTTTAAAGTTGGTGACTACATCTACACTATTAACAACCGAACATCCTCAAGTACCATAATTTTAAACAAAAATCATATATGCCACAAGCCTAACAATTTAACATTTGTTGAAGCAGCTTCAGTGCCAGGGGTATATGCAACATCATTTTATAGTATATTCATAGTTGGAAGGTTGGGCATTGAGAATCAAGAATCAATACTAATCCACTCAGCTACTGGTGGTGTAGGTTTATCAGCTATCGAACTGTTAAAATGGAAAGGATTCAAATCACATTTATTTGTTACAGTTGGTTCTGAAGAAAAAGAAAAATATTTGAAAGATAGATACGGATCACTTATTACTGGTATATATTCAACTAGAAACAAAGATTATGTTCAAAAAATCAAACAAAAACTAAAAGAATTAGGATCCAATAAACAAGGTGTAGATGTTATATTAAACACTTTGCCTGCTGAATATTTAGAATCAAATTTCAAATGCTTAAACAAAGGTGGAAGAATCGTTGATTTATCAATCACTCACCTTAATCCAAATGAATTTATAGACTTTAATAAATTCAAATACAACTACACCTATTCAAATGTTGAGTTTTTATTTTTAGATTTTGAATATATAAACGAAATATTAAAAATAATAAGTGAAGGTATTTCAAGTGGATCATTATCATTAATACCAATTACAGAATACTCAGTACTCAATATCAAAGAAGCATTCGAATATATAAATCAAAGAAAACACATTGGTAAAATTGTTGTAAACTATGATAAAGATATTACAAGTCATTTATTACAGAATAAAGATGAACGCACCAAAGAAACAGACCAGCCAATCAAATCTAACTATTCAATCAGTTCAGAACTCGGTAAAACTATATTAATCACAGGTCAAAGTGGAATTGCATTAGAAATTATTAAATGGATTTCCAAATATTCAAAATCAGTAGAAAACATTATTATTCTATCAAAATCCACATTAAAATGGGAATTAGAATTAATAATTAATAAATCAAAATCTAATAACTCTAAAGCTATCAACTATTATTTCAAGAGTGTCGATGTCGAATATCAAGACCAAATAGAAACAGCCATCAATAATATATTCAATGAACATCCATCTATAAATAACATTGATTCCATATTCCATTTTGCTTTTGCTTATGATACATGCGAACCAATAAACATTGATATTGAAAGCATAAACATATCACATGGTGCTAAAACAATAGGAGCAATCAATTTACACGAATTATCATTGAAATACAAATGGAATGTAAACAACTTCATATTGGCATCATCTATTTCATCATTAATTTGTACTATGAACCAATGTACCTATGTCTCTGCAAATTGTGTATTGGATTCATTAGCAAAATACAGAAAATCACTTGGTCTACCTGCCTTATCTGTAAATTGGGGAAATATTGGCACGTCAGGTGTTGTATCAAGAATAGAATCAGTCAGTGAACTATTAGATGGAATTGGTATAGAATCCATGCCAACCAATATTCTTTTAGGTGCATTAGACCTCTTACTTCAAAATAAACAAAAGCTACACGAAGATTACAGTAACATAATAGTAAACAGAACGAACTTTGAAAAGTTTCATTTTAATTACAAATTTGGTTTTAAAATTAACTCTTTAAACGATAAAAAGATATCAACAAAAGTTAATAAAAACGAAGAACACATAGATGAAATTCAAAGCGCTGTGCTTTCAAAATTAGCAGATTTATTATCAATAAACGAATCAAATATTAATACAAATACCATACTTTCAGATTTTGGACTCGATAGTTTATTGGTGGTACAGGTAAAAAATTGGTTAGATAAAAAGTTTAAAAAAAACTTGTTTAATATTTCAGATCTCCAAAAACTTTCTATTAATGATATTATAAAAAAATTAATTTTGCAATAAAAAAAATAAAGCAAAAAAATTTTGAAATTAAAAAATATAAAGCAAACATCAAAAATTTTTTTTTTTTTTGGTAATGTTATTTAATTGTTTATTTTTTTTTCTTTAATTATTTTATGGGTTGTGCCAATAATGATTGAGTTTAAACGACTTATAAACAAGTAAACATTGCCCATTACTGATTTTCTATGCTTTTGACCAGAGGTGAATAAAATAGAGCCGACAAACTTTATTTTAAATTGGCCACGGTTAAGGAAGCCCAAAAGCATTTCCAACTATCTTTAAAAAATAATGAGTGAAATAATAAAATTCGTTGGGAAATTTAATTGTTTTATGGGACTTTTTTTATTTTTTCGAATTTTCTTTTTTTCATTTTTTATTTTTTTTTATTTGGCCATATTTTTATTTGTTTTATGAATTGTTTTTTGAAGATATTAAGATATTTTTGTAGGTTTGGGTTGATAGTATAAGAATTAGTTTGTAATTGATCGAGTATTTATTTTATAATATTATTTATATTTTTATTTCTTTTTTTTATTATTTATACCATTTAAAACTAAAAAGGTTGTTAAATTAAATAGTGGATAAGAATATAAATAAAGAAATAATCAAAAAAACAAAAAAAAAACAATGTTTTAATAAATAAAAAATAAAAAACAAAAAATAAAAAAAAATAAAAAATAAAAAATAAAAAAAAAAAAATAAAAAAAAAAAATTAAAATAATTTTAAATTTTCAAAAATAACTTTAGTATTTTCAACAAATAAAAATAAATTCCTTTATGAATTTTTTTAAACACACCCAATAATAATGAAAAAAATTATAAATTTATATTTTTTTTTTGGTTCATTGTATCCAAAGAACATTTAAATAATATATAAATAATAAATAATAAATAATAAAATGAATACTATTGGCCAACATAAGGAACAATTTTTATCATTGTTAGAAGCCCATAATACTGTTGTCGTTGCCGGTCCAAAGGGTTGTGGTAAATCAACTCAAATCCCACAATTTTTATTAGAAAAGAATAAAAAGGTAATTGTATCAACCCAGCCAAAAAGAAGTAACGCAATCTCATTAGCTGAAAAAGTCGCCCATGAATTAAATGAAGAAGGAGTTGGTAAAACTGTTGGTTATGGTATTAGATTCGAAGAAAAGGTATCAAATGACACTAAAATCAAATTCATTACTGATGGTTTGTTAGTTAGGGAATTAATTTCGGATCCATTATTGTCCAAGTACTCCACTATTATTGTTGATAATGTTGACCAAAGAACACTCATCACTGATGTTTTATTGGGGTTATTAAAAAAGCTTCAACAAACTAAAAGAGCAGATTTAAAATTTGTTTTAATTACATCAACTTTAAACCAAACCCAGGAGCTTTCCAGATTCTTTGATTCACCACCAATCTTAGTCGTTGGTGAATTTGCCAGTGAAAACCAAGAAGACTCCAAAGTACCAGAAATTCAAACCAATGAATTGGCAACTATTGTTTTGCAATTAAAGGCAATGGGTATCAATGATATTACAAGCGACATTGACTTAATTACACCTCCATCAAAAGAATCTGTTGAAAAAGCATTAAGGGACTTGGTAGGCTTCCAAGCAATCAACTCTCTTGAAGACCCATCACTTACACCAATTGGTAAAGCAATGGCTGGTTTCCCACTCGATCAATGCTACTCAAGAATGATCGTTCAAGCAGAGCAATTGGGTTGTACTGATGATATTCTAACTATTATCTCAACTGCTGATCAAGAGTTGTTCACATCCCCCATTAATGCAGAGTTTATAGTTAAAGATAGTGACCATTTAACACTACTTAATGTTTACAACTCATTTGCAGCAAACCAATTTTCAAGCGAATGGTGTGATAAACATCAAATTAACTTCAAATCAATGGAACGTTGCAAGAAAATTAGAGAACAACTATTAACTTTAATGAATAAGTATTCAATTAAATTAGTTTCCTCATTACCCAATGGAGTTGATAATATTAAAAAATCAATTCAATCCGGTCTCCATATGAATGTAGCCCAGTTACAATCAGATGGCTCTTATCAAACCATAGCTAAAGATAAATCTTTATTTTTACACCCAAGCTCAGTATTAGCATCATTAGAGTCTCCACCACAGTGCGTAGTCTTTACAACCATTTCAGCAGACCCAGCAACAGAACCAAATAAACAATTTATGAAACTAAATACAGTTGTTGATTCAAATTGTTTATAAACAATTAAAATCGATATACAAAAAAGCAATAGAAATAATATAAATAAATAATAACCTGCTTAATAATAGCAATATCTCTAATAATTATTAATTTAAAAAGATAAAAAAATAAAAAATAAAAAAATAAAAAATAAACCTTTATTTCCGTAATAACCACATTTAAAAAATTACTGAAATCAATTCAAATAAAATTACGTTTACCAATCTTTTTCTTCAATTCAATTATTTTAAATCTTTTATAAATTGGTTTTTAAATAAAAAAAATAAAAGCTAAAAATAAAACTATAATTATAATTTGCACATATTTAATTTCATTTAACAAAGTTATTATTATTAGATATAAATTAAAAAGAAAATAAACATACCATCATAAATTTAAATCTAATATTAGCTTTATTTTTTAATGAATGTCTTTAGTGTGTTTTTTATGAGTAAGTGAGTTAATAGAGTTTAAAATAAAAATATACAAATTTAAATATAAAATCAATGATTTAAAAATTAGTTATAAATGAAAAAGATAACAAGAACCAATTATCAATCACATCATCATCTTAATAAAAAATTTAACATTTTCATTATAATAATGATCATAGATATATTTCTAAACATTTAAAATTAATTAATTTAAAAAACACCTTCAAACACTCAATTCTTTTTTTTTTTTTATTAATTTTTTTTAAACACTCTCACACACATACACAAACAAAAATTTTATATTATTTTTTTTTTTGAGCCTCCAACACACTACTACCCACACTCCTAATTTATACATATCGTCCCCTCCAAATTTTCTCTTTTGATCACAAACACACATTCAAAGTATTTTTAACAATAATTAAATATCAAAACATATTTTATACCTAATTATGCATATATATATATTTTGAGGGGATGTAATTTCTATTTCTATCTTTTTTGGGGGTGATAAAATTTTTTTATTTGATGTTATATATAGAAAAACAATAGTTTAATGTGAAGTGAATACTTGTATACAATAATTATTGTTTTTATCTTACATACATAAAAAAAAACTATCCTTCATAAATCTGCACTTAAAAATAATTAAAATAATTATTTTTTTATTTTATTCGTTCAAAAAAATATTTTGTTTATATTTAGACTCGATCACCAACCGACATTGTTATTATTTTTGGATGGTAATAAGAATTTTTTTTTTTTTCCATCTTGTGAAAAAAAAATTAATATAATATATTTTTTTGAAACTCATGGTAAAAAAATAAAAAAAAAGATATAAATATTTAAATAAAAATAAATAATAGAAAATTAAACTCAATAATAATAATTAAAAATATTAAAATTAAATCACTTAAACATCATTTTTTCACATACTATCAATCCAAAATTATATTTAAGGTTTTTTCCCATTATGTTTTAATCTCTCGGATTTGAAAGAAAAATATATATTCATATTTTAATAAATTTAATAATGGGGCGTTGTGTTTTTGATGATCACCCACACTCAAATTTTGTTCAAATTTAGAAAAAAGTCCCCTCTGTGTGATAAATAAAAAAAAATACATTTGTCAATTTTTTTTTTTTTCAAAATTTATTATAATAAAAAAAAAGCGATTTGTGTTTTTAGTGGGGTTAATGAGTGTGTGTATATGTGAGTGAATTTGAATGTGTAAATTTTTTTAAAGCTGGGTGAAATGTGTGTTTTATTTTTTTTTTTTTTTATATTATTTATTTTAAAAAACAATAGTATACTATTTATATAAGATATATAAAAATTTAAATTTCACTATATAATTTTTTTAATTTATTATTTGTATTTAATATAGAGGATCACAAACAAATTTCATCCTAATCTGAAATTATATAAAAAGAGTAAATATTGTATAATTTTTTCAACCACACATCACACCCAAACACATACCTTTTCTAACCCACATTCTCATCCCACATCCCACTCCCCCTCCAATTATTATATATATCATCATCTTTATAACACGATAATAAAAACAACAACAATCAACAAAATTAAAAATAAAAACACAATTATTATATATTATTTTTTAAATCTTTCAATGAGAGATTTGTATTATTTTATTATAAAATTTGAACAAACATTTTTATGTGTCTCAAGTATTAATAGAGTTTTAACATTTAATATTAATCCTTCTTAAAACTTCATATTGATAAATAATGTATGCGAAGAAATAAACACACAATATAGGTTAAGAAGGATGTGTGTATGTGTGTAAGTGTGTTTAGATTATAATATGTATTTAAAAATCATTTTTTCAATGTTATTGTGTTTGTTGGTTTTTATTTTAAACTATGTGTGTGATGTTACTATATTTACAATGTTTCCATATTAATATTTTTATAATAAAAGCTTTTTTTTTTTATTTATTATTTTTTTAATTATTTTTATTAATTTTAACCTTTGTTTTTCAAAAATAAATATTGTCTATTTAAACTTTTTTTTTTCTCATTCATAAAAAGAATTAAAAACTTGGTTATCTATTAATTATAACAATTATATTTTTTATTGCCTGTATATATTAAAAATATTAAATAAATAAAAAAAAAATTTTAATTATTGTGTTTCTATCAAATCTTATTGTACTTTATCTTTATCATCACTCTAAAATTTTTGGGTGATAATACCGCACTTTAATTCACAACCCCGTATAACACACACTACATACATAATCACACACTTTAATCAATCCAATAATCGTTCATTCACACACTCTCACTCACACATTTTTCCAACTTCACTCAATACCTTATAAATATAAAATTTAACGTCTTGTTTATATTTTTATTGAGTTTGTATTGTTCTTGTTGTTATTATCGTACTCTAATTATTATTTTACTATTTATATTTTATCTTAAATTCCTAAGTGAATAGGTTTTTTTAAAAAAAACAAGACACCCACACAAATAAACCCCATCAAATCCTTGTATTTTAATATTAAACTCTAAATATAATTTATATTAATATTTTCATTTTTATTTTTTGTTTTTTTTTATTTTCTCAAAAATTATTTATTTGTTTTTTTTTTTTTGTTTCAAAGATTAATTAAGTTATAACCTTTACAACATACAAATAAATTAAATTAAAAATGTCACAACAAAATAATAACAATAATATTTTTCATAATAAAGATGGAAAAACTACTCTTTGCAATATCGGCCTATCATCATCTATTAATATTCCAATTATTAATATAAATAACATTGATAATTATAATAGTAATCATACTATTAAAAAATCTAACAGCTTTGGTAGTTTAAAGTACCCACCCTTATCTCCAAGCTCCTCATCTCAATCATTAAATAGCTCTACAAATTCATTACCATGCTTGAAACCATTATTTTTTGTAAATAATACAAATAATAATAAAAACCATATCATAAACTGTAACTCTAGTGACGAAATGGATAGCTCTGAAGAATTCTGCCAATCTGAATACTCATCCAAAAGAACCCTATCTCCAATATTAACCCATAATAGCCCAAGCTCTCCAGGATTATCATATAGCCCACCATGTTCACCAAATCTATATTCAAGCTCACCTGTATTCCCATCTTCCCCAACCCAAAACTTATCGTGCTTATCACCAAATAGAATCCCATCTTCCCCAAATAGTTCATGTAGCGGCGGCTCATTTTCTTTTTCTGCATTAAGCATTAATGACCATTATGGTAGCAGTGGAGATGAAACTGATAGCGATGGTGGTTTATCTTTAAATAAAAATGGCGATTTTGATAAAAAAAGAAAAAACTCTACCAAATCAATTGGAAAAACTAGTCGTAGACATGTTGCTAAAACCATGGCTCAAAGAAGTAAATTAGAAAATTCAAGTGACAGTACCGCACTAAGTCTTTTTGTTTTACCACCAGACGAAAAAATCTTTTTTTGTGATCATATAGGTTGCAAAAGAGGTTTTTCATCACCACAATCCCGTTCAAATCACTATAGTCTAAAACACAGTACCCAATGCGAAAATAGTTCGGAATGTATTCAGTGCCGTAGAATATTAAAAATAAAAAGCTCTCCAAAATCAAAATGCAGACACTATGGCTGTGAAAAAATTTGCTCATCAGCAAATCTTGCAAAACATGAAAAAACTCAACACCATAAACACAACTATTTAGAAAAGTTTTCTTGTCAAAAATGTGATGATTTATCATCACATTGTCAAAATAACTATTTTCTTCCTTCCATTTCAGATTTAACCCAAAAATAAGTTTGAATTGTATAAAAAAAAAAAAGTAAAAAAAATTATATATATCAAAATGTTTTAATAATAATATAATAATTTTTATTAAAATGATTTTAATTATTAGGTAAAAATTAAAAAAAAATTGTAAAATAAATAACTATTTCCTTATTTTGTTTAAAAAAAAACGTTTTTTGTATTTTAATTTAAACCTTTTTTTTTATAACAAGATTAAAAAAAAATAATATTTTTAATTGAAAAAAACATTAATAATTAAATTAAATTAATAATCCGACCCATTATTCCAATCTATTAATTTGTTTACTAATATAAAATAATTTAAAGAGATTATTATTCAAAATTTTGAACGGTTATTTATTTATTAATAAATAAATTAAATACCCAAATAAAATATTTATGATAATTATAATAAATATTAAAAAAAGTTTAAAACTAAACAGTTTTAAATTCTACTCTTTTTAAATTTTAAATAATTTTTATTTTAAAAATAAAAAAAATTATAAAAAATTCATCATATTTGAATATCACAGGGGTTTTAGATTTAAAAATTTTTTTTTTTATTAATAATTATTTAATTTAAAATCTACTATAATAGGGGGTATTTTTTAGATTAAACTAAAAAATTAAAATAGTTTTTTAATTTTTTTTAAAAAAAATAAAATAATTAAAAAACAAAAAATATAAATAATAAAAAAATAAAAAAAAATTTTTATTTAATTTATATATAGTCAGTTTTTAATCAAGTAAACAATATTTCTAATGCTCTCTATAATAAAAAATAAAACCTCTGATTATTTTTTATCATTTGGTTATAATATTATTTTTAATAATATATTTCCAAAGATCAAAAATGGTAAACTAATTATTGAAATTAAGGATGAAAAAAATCCAATTTATAACAATACATTGGTCTTTGGTGATACCCAAAACAAAACAGACTGTTCTCGAGTTATAATTTATAATATAAATGGTTTTATCAGTAAATGTAAATATTAATTTATTTATAATAATAAAATATATTATAAATTATTAACTATATTATATTACAGTATTATTTGGCCATGATATAGGTATGGGTGAAGCATATATGGTCGGTGACTACACAACAGATGATTTAAAAACTTTTATTAAAGGTATTACCATTTTACAATTAAAATCTCAGTCATTTATATATATAAAAACTAACCATTGTTTTTATTTTTTAGTATTAATTATGAACTCTAACCAATTATATCAAAGTAAAAGTAAAATCTTAAACTTTTGTAATGATAGTGTAAACTCACTATTCCAATATTTGTATACAAAATCAGTAGAGGATGTAAATAAAACAATTAAAACTCATTATAACTTGAGCAATGAACTCTACGAATTAATGTTAGGAAAAACTATGTGCTATTCAAGTGCAATGTATTCGTCACCTGATGAAGATTTAGATACTGCTCAATTAAGAAAATTCAATTATTTAATTTCCAAATCCAATGTTAAAAAGGAAGATCATATTTTAGAAATTGGTTGTGGTTGGGGCACATTGTAAAGTATTTTTATGTATTTTTATTATTTTTATTATAATTTATTAACTTTTTTTTTTTACAATAGTTTAATTGAAATTGTTAAAAAAACTGGGTGTCGTGCAACTGGTATTTCTTTATCTGAAGAGCAAATTGACTATGCTAGAAAATTAATAAAAAATGAGGGGTTGGACCACCTAATCAATGTTGAAGTATGCCATTACCAAGATATTACTGGTAAATATAGTCATATATTTGCAATTGAAAGTATGGAGCATGTTGGACCAGATCATTTTGAAAAATATTTTTCTATTGTGGATAGAGCACTAGATGAAAATGGTCTTATAGTTTCACAAATTTCCACATACCAAGACCTTGATTTCGAAAACAATAGAATGGGGAAAAAAGTTGGTTTTATTAACAAATATATTTTCCACGGTGGTGAACTACCATGCTTAACCAATGTCATTAATGGTGCCGCAAAATCTTCTAGAATCCAACTTGATAGTGTTGAAAATATCAGCCAACATTACTCTTGGACTCTTGACGCATGGACAAAACTCTTATTAAAAAACAAAGAAGAAATTATGAAATTGGGTTTTGATCAACAATTTATCAATATGTTTGAATATTACTACTGCTATTGTTCTGCTGGTTTTGAAACTAGATACATTGCTAATTCCCAATTGGTTCTTTCTCGTCCACTAAATGTTGAAAATTTAAAAACAAAATTTTATAATTAACCTATAATTATAGAAATATAAAATTTATATTAATAACAATAGTAAAATTAATAATAATTATAACAACTGTTTACATCTTTGGGTATTTAATCGTATCTTTTTTTTTAATCCTATTATAATAAATATTTAATTAAATCTATATGTGTTTCTTTTTTATTTTCCTAAATTACCTTTTATATAAATGATTATCACAATATTGTGAAAAAAATAAAATAAAAATTGCTTTAATGTGGGTTTTCTTTTTTTTTTTTTTTAACACATATTTAATTATTTCTATCAAACTACACAAAGGTTAATTTGCCCCCCAACATAGGGAATTAAAAAAAAAAAAAAATTATTTTAATTGGGGTAGGGGGAAATATGTGTGAATTAAAACGGGTATGCTTTATATGCTTGTATTTATATATAATATATATGCATATAAATAGTTAATAAATAAATAATTAATTTTATTTTTTTTTATTTTTTTTTATTTATTTTTTTATTTATTATTTATTTCATTTTAAATGTTCACTTTATATTATACAAATATATTAACCTATAATCAAATAAAAAAAAACCAATAGCAATAATAAAATATAATAATAAAAATGGAAGAAAATAATAATAATAAAATTTACGGTACCTACGACCCTAGAACTATATTACCACCTCCACCTCCACCACCAGTCAATGCTTATTATAACCCATATTACGAATGTAATAATTTTGTTGAAGAACCTTTGCCCCCACCTCCACAAGAGAGACTCGATACTGGTATGGTATATAGAAATGATAATTTAGTTATGGGTGGATATAATGACTATATGAATAGTGAAAGTGATGAAATATATTTAATTAATCATAACAACATCGAAAATAATAATCATTGGTTATCGTCAACAAATACAACAAACAATGCCCCTTATTATTACTACCCACAACAACAATATATATATGGAGAACAACTAAGTAAAGGAACTGTAGAAGATGAAAAAAACAACTTTAAAATTCAACAACAACAAAATTTTCAAAATCAATTTTATAATGATGTACCACCACAAGATTTCGTTAATCAAGTTGCTGCTAGAATTAAAGAAATGGATGTTGAAAATAATGTAGAATCCGATCATCAAGAAGATCCTGCAGATGCCACCATGTCAATGCTAATGTAAGTGTTTTTACAAATCTGTATTATTAATAAGATTGTTGTAGAATTAATTTAATTCTGTTCTAGAAATCTTACTAATTTATTATTATTTTTTTTATTTTTTAATTTATTTTTTAAAATTTAAATTTTTTTATTTTATTAATATACCTTTTTTTAGATTACTATTAGGTGTTTTCTTTTTTGTTCCTTTATTCTTTTCTGTTCTATATTTAAAATCTAAAGATAAATATGCTAGAAGATTTGCATGGACCTCATTCATATTGGCTTTTCTCTTTTTGTTTATTATCATTCTTTCAACATTTGGTTTTTTAAATGTAAGTGATATTGAATTTATTTAAATTCGATAAATCAAATTGAAAAAGAAAAAGAAATTAAAAAAGAAACCCATAAATAATTTTTTAAAAAAAACTAAAAAAAAAAAAACAAAAATTCAAAAAAAATTTCAAAAAAAATCTTCCCGTAAAATATCCCACTTCCTAATAGAATTCTATTTAGTTCTGTGAAAAAAAAATAAATAAAAATTTTAAATAAAAAAGACTACTATTTATAGTGTATTACTATGGAAGATAAAAAATACATAATTGTTATTTTCCTATTATTATTGCTATTTATTATTATTATTTTTATTTTATTTATCTGTTCTTTCAATACATTTTTTTAAGTTTGTTTCTTTTTTATTTTAAAATATTAATTGTGTGTAAATTTATTATGTAAATCTTGAATTCAATACCAGAATTATATATATTTATTTTTTCTTTTTGTATATAAATTTAAAATTATAACAAACCACATGAATGCTTCTATTCAGTTCTCGAGTTGGACTATATCTAAAAAAAATTTAAAAAAAAAAAAATTAAATTTTTATTTTTTTATTTTTTTTTTTTTAAAAAAAGTTTTTTGTTTTTTGTTTTTTTTTTTTTTTATTTTTTATTTATTTAATTAATTAAAAGTTAATAATAACAAAATAGTGTATTGTTATAAACAATAAAATAATAAATATATAATAATTAAAATAAAATTTAAAATAAATATTTTTTATAAAAATAAAGAAATAAAAATAAAAAAATAAAAAAAATAAAAAAATTAAAACAAAAGTTATTTTTTTCGCAAAAATAATTTTTTTTTTTTTTTTCTCATTCGCTTTTTTTTTCTTTTTATTAAACAAATAAACAAAATTTTATCATTAAATACAAATATAACAAATATATGCAGTGGAGAAAAACATGTAGTTGTTAATAGTAATAGCAATAAAGATGATGTAGAATTTATAGATATTGATAGTATAAATAATAAATTAAATAATAATATGGTTATAGATTCCCATAATAATAATAATATAGACAATAACAATAGTAATAATAATACAATATGTCAAGATTTAATAAATAATAATAATATAAATAATAATAATTGTAATATAAAAAATAAAAATGATTGTAAACAATTAATAAATAATATTATAAATAATTGCTCAATTCAAAAACTAATAGTTGGTTTTTGTTGGCGTGATAAATATTCACCAAGAAAATGGAAGATATCATTGTCGTTAGTATCAAAGAGATTTCATTATTTTATTAGCAATTTTTGTTCAGAGAATTTAGATTTAACAAGATGTGAAGAAACCATGACACTAGACAAAGATATAAATATATTTAGGCATTTCAAATCTACACCCTACACCTTATTTCAATACCCACCCAAAAGAATTCAAATTTCAACCATTGATTTCAAAAGATTAGTGTCACCACTTATAAATGAAGATAGTAATATTGCGTATAGTCAGAAAATTGTATTATTATTTTCATTATTAGAATCAATCGAATTGGAGTATAATGGTTATAGTATGAGCGATAGAGATCTATCAATTCTATTTTCAAGCATTGAAACTATCAAAAAGGTTACTGTACAGTTTAATGGGAAGTGTTGTTTTAACGCTTTGGCAGAGCTAAATAAGTTTCTAAAGAGGTTAAAATTAACATCATTCTCATTACTTTTCTTAGAGGAGGATGGAGGTAGATCCGAAAAAATGCAAATTTGTTTACCAGTTATATCAACAACAACTACATGTTCCACTGCACTATCAAATACAAAACAACTGGCATCATCAAAGAGTTGTTTCCAAATATTTTCAAATAAACCGGTAGCCACTACTGCCACGCCAAATAATGAAATATTTTCAACTACAAATAGTTCATCACCCTGCATTAGATCATATTTATCATCTGATAATGTACATGATTTGGAGTCATTACATTTGGAATCAGTTTCAATTTTTATGTTTCAAGAATTAGTATGTTCAATGCACCATCAACGTTTAAATAATTTGCGTAGTCTTGCCGTTATATTTGATGACTATAACTTATTCAGTAGTATCAGTTGCGAAGCTTTATGCACAGGTCTTTTACAATTAAGAAATTTAGAAGTCTTGGATTTATCTTTATCAATAGTGTTCAACAACATAACGAATCAGAAGGAGCTATTTGATATCAGTCTATTTCAAGAGTATTTAGCAAATGAAACTACACTTACAAGCCTCTCTTTAGATTTTATTTCAGACGATATGAGCAGGGTTTACTCTGAAGAGTTTATAAGGTTTTTATTCTCAGAAAAGAAAAATTTAAAGAAATTACGTATCAACACCCCACTATTCAGCAGCATTGGAGCCAAAAGCAACCTATCAACATTGGCATTGGACTATCAAGCAAATTTAAAGTGCTGTCAACTAAACGAAATCGATAGATTCATTCAAAATTTGTCAAATCCAAACTCTCACTTAAAGAAACTCCAATTACTAAACAGTGATCCATTTGTAAATACATTTTTAGCCAGATTCTTAATTCATAATCATAACGGTTCCATCGAGAATTTAAAGGTCACCATCAATCGTAAAGAGTTTCAACATATATTATACGCCTTATCACTAAATACAACTTTAAAAACTTTAACTCTTTACACAACAAATTTCTCAGATTTCACAAAAGAAAATATCGAATCTTTGCTTTTAACACTCCAAGACCATCCATCAATTTATAAAATAGTTATAGAAACCTCTTGTAAAACTTTATGTCCTTATTTTTTAAACAATCATTTTTCAATTTATTATAATAGTTTAAAATTAAGGTATTACATTTTCAAGAAATAACCAAGATAATAATTATTATCTTTTTTTATAAAAAAAAAAAAAAAATAAAATTAAAATTTAAATAATTTTTTTTTCTTTTAAAATAAATCATACTATTCATTTTATTTATCTATACAGCAAAGATTACGAAATTAATACATAATTTGAATGTGTATAAAAAAGCATAATCGACAAATCATTTTTTTGAAAATTTTTATCCAAATAAAATATTATTTTTTTTAATTTATTTTTTTTTTTAAAAATTTAATTTTTTTTCGCTTTTTTTTATTTTTTTTTTTAGGAAGTTAATTTTTTTTCATATACACAATAAATTTGTTAAAATGATATCAAGAAACTTAAATAAACCATACAGAATAGTATCACATATAACAGTACCAAATGGTACTATTTCAGCAGATTCATCTAGATCATTTTCAAAATTTAATAATATTTTAAGTAATTCAATAAAATATAGTAGCAATAAACCACTATCATTACAACAATCTTTTGTTAAAAATACCACTATTTTACCATCATCACACTCATCTACCAGTTCACTTTTAAATACAACCATCCAATCTAATAAACTTTTAAACGAAATAAGAAAATATACTACATCATCACCACAACCACAACAAAATAATAATAATAATAATAATAATAATAACAACAACGAAATGAAACAAGCTGAAAAAGAAAAGGAAGTTAAAATAGAAGAAAAGAATGATAAAGAAGATAAAAAAGAAAATCAAGATGATGACGATAAAGCTGATCTCAGTAAATTAAGCACTGGCCAAAAAATTAAATATTTACTTAAAAAGTATGGTAAAATTGCATTGGTAGTTCATTTTGGTGTTTATTTCCTCACTATGGGTAGTTTCTATGCACTCTTCTCTTCAGGTGTTGATATTGGAAAAGTTTTAGAATTATTACATCTTCCAACCGATAGAATCAATCCAAGCCTCGGAGCATTTGCTGTCGCATTTGCATGCACTAAATTATCAACTTTTATTCGTACCCCACTTACCATTATTACTGTACCAATAATAGCCCGTTATCTTGGTAGAGGTCCAAAAAAATAAATAAATGGTTCAATTAGAATTTAATAAAACACTATTTTATGTCTTTAATAAAAAATTTTTATTGTTTTTTATTCTTTTTAAAATAAATATTATTGTTGTGTATATTACTTTTTTATTATTACTACTATATAAATAAATTTACAATTTTGGTTTATATTATTATTATTGTTATTATTATTATTATTAAATATTAATTGCTATTATTAATTTAATTCTAAAATTGATAGATATGCAACATGTAAGCTATTATACCATTTCATTAAATTAATATTTATATTTCTTGGTTGGTGTGAAAGAGGATCATTTGGACCAAGGGGAAATGTCTTTTTAATCCATTCATTATAAGCACCTATATGATCTTTCCCTTGTGCGATAACATTTTGTAAATTTGTTATTGTTTCTTCGTGCTTAAATAGTGAGTTGTTTCTAATGGAGGATTGACCCTTCAACTCTGTTAATTTGTTTAATATACTGGATAGTCTTATATAAATTGGTTCTACATTTGGATAGTTTTGTCTAATTAAATTAAGTTGATTTAGTTGACCATTAAATAGAATATCAAATTGATTGCTTGGATTAATAAGCTCTTTTTGTAATTGAGTTATTTCATTATAGATTAATAATAGCTCTTTAAGTTTAGGCTGTTGGGTTGCAACTGGTTGTTGTACAGCTTTTTGCTGTTGGGCTAATTCTAATTGTAGTTGCTGTTGTTGAATTAATTGTTGTTGTTTTTGAATTTGTGATTGATAGTTATTCTGCTGTAATTGTAATTGTTGTAATTGTAGCTGAACCTGTTGCAATTGTACTTGATCTTGCTGTTGTGCAAGGCTATTTATTAATTGTGATGATTGTAATGGTGATATTGATTGGTGATGCGATAATGGTGGGGATGGGTTTGATTGGTTAAGTGATGATCTAGATTGTGTTGGAGAGTATTGCAAAGTGCTGCTTGATAGATCTTGATTTTTTGTATTGGTAGCACTACTGTTAACACTATATCTTTCAACAACTTTAGCCTGGTTATCTTGTTTATGAATTGTGCTTAGTCTAATAGATTGTCTATTTGGGTTGGTTATTGATGTCACACTTTGAAGAGAGTCTCTGTTTGATTGCTGTTTAACCATAGGATTAAGGATTGAGTCATTAAGATCGATTTCAGATTGATCTTTTCTAAGAGAGCCTTGATTAAGTTCCAACTCTTTGGTAATTTCTTTTAATATTAATAACCATTCGTGTTGTTCAATGGCATTCTCTGTGTAGAAAAATAAATGCTCGTTACCCAATACTGCAAAGCCATGTTGATATTCATGATCTTGAGTTGGTAATACTGTAACATTGTTCATATCCATAAATGATAGTGGAATATATCTTATATCATTACTATTATTATATTGGCTATTATTAATATTGGAGCTGGAATTGTTGTGAGTATGTTGACTATTGCTTATACTATTGCTTATGCTAGTATTATTAATTGGTACACCCAAAATTGTTGAAACTTTTTTGCAAAGTAATATACTATCATTAAATAAGAATAAATGACGTTTTTTAATTTTACCTCTTTTTTCAAAGAATACTGAAGCGTCTTTAATATGTTTCCTATAAGGCTTGACCAAGTCTATGTTTTTAGTTAAACTTCCTTGAATCATCATAATTTTTTCTAAACCTTCTGCAGTTCTTTTACTTTCGTTAATATTCATTGCTAATTCTTGAATATTGGATAGAGCAGCTCTAACATTTTTATAATCGCTGTGATCTTCTGGAGTACAGTGTAATAGTTCAGTTAAAAGCAATTTATATCTTGGTATTCCTGTGAAAAATAGAGGCTATTATTAGTATATTTAATAAACTTTTATTATTATTTACTACCAAAATATTATACATACTTTGTACAGGTTGAATTTGTAAATCTAAGAAATCTCTTTTTTCTAAAATTTTATTTTCTTTGCAATCTTTGAAAAAGAATTGGTTAACTTTTGAATCTCTTTTTTTGCATTCTAGTAATGTTGTAGTTGCATGGGTAAAATTGTTAATGTATTGGGTGTAGAGTTTTAAAAATGGTGACAATGATAAGAAACACTCGGCAACGGTTTTAACATGTGTTTTTGGTGTTTTGGAGGGTTTGGCTGATGATTTTTTAAGAGTACCGATATTTGAATAGTCTTCTTGTTGCTGTTTTTGATATGCTTTTAAATTGGTTTCTAAAGATTCTAATAGTTCATTATGGACACCATAGATAACGGAACAGTTCCCAAAGATTGCAGCAACTTCATTGACGGATAATAAATCTTTTTTAGTTGTTTGTAAAGGTACCAAAAATATCTTTATCATCAGTGATAAGGATTCTACATATTTACGCTCTGTATCAACAATTTCTTGTAAACATAAATTACGTCTTGTGTGATGTTGTTTCAAAACTTTGAAACTCTTTTTAGCTAACCACATTCTAACAATTGATTGTATAAGAGTAATTTTATTGTGCATATTAATTTCCGTACGTCTTTGCTTGATTTGGTTCTCGATGGTGGTAATCGATGCATTTTGACTACCAAACAAGTTTTGCTTAACGGATAATAACCTTTCCTGCTCATTTCTTTGGATTTCATTCTTCAGTTGCGAGTCTGAACTATTTGGAAAATGCTTATCTAGTATCGGCGTAAGCTCTAGTAAGTAGTCCTTAAAGATTCCGTCTAGTTGCTGTTGTTTCTTTATTAAAAGTGAGTTAATGGATTCACTATAGTCTTTCTTTTTGTTTTCCCATTTCTTTACATCTTCTAATAGTTCATCTGAAACCTTAAAATAAACTTTGCTTTTTTGTCGATGATTTTTTTGATGATTTTCTATCAATTCTCTTTGTTGCTGTTGGACCTTTTCTAATAATTTACAATTCTTTTTTTCTGGTAATGGTGGTGGCTCTAAATCTGAAGATTGTTGTTCTTGATAATCATAATTGGGCTGTTGCTGATTATTATAATGTTGTTGTTGTTGTTGATTTTGGTTATTGGTGTAGTATTCTTGTTGTTCTTGGTTGTCATAGTATTGTTGTGGCTGTTGATCATCATAGTATTGTTGTTGGTTATTATCATAATATTCTTGTTGTTGTTGTTGGTCATTATAATATTGTTGCTGTTGTTGGTCATCGTAATATTGCTGTTGTTGGTCATCATTATATTCTTGTTGTTGCTGATCATTTAAAAATTGTTGCTGATCATCTTCATTATATTGTGGTTGTACATTTGGTTGTATTGGTTGCCCATCACCATCCAATGATCTAAAATTTGATGGTAGTGAAATTTCTATATCTTTCTTTTTTGATTTTTTATCTTTTTCCTTTTTTTCTTTTTCCTTTTTTTCTTTATCCTTTTTATCTTTATCCTTTTTATCTTTATCTTTTTTATCTTTATCTGGTTGCATCATTTTGAAAAATAAATATATTTAAAAAAAAAAACTTGATGATAGAGATATTAAATTTAAATGAAAAAAAAAAAATTTCCCAAAAATTTTTTTTGAAAAATATAAAATAATAATAGTTTTTTTTAAAAATAAACACAAAAATTATTATAAAAAGTAATATCTAAATTATTATAATATTTAAAGTTTTTGATTAAACAAGACTTTTTTTATAAAAATTAGACATTTGAACAAATGGAATAATGAAAAAAAAAAAATTTACAAAAGCTGAATATAAATGTACAAATAAATAAAAGAAATGGTGAGTGTGTGTGAATATAATGAGAAAAAATATACATATAATTAAAAATAAAAAAAATTTTAAAAAAAAATCAAATTTTTTATTTTTTAAATTTTTTTATTTTTTTTTATTTTTTTTTTCATTTTCATTTTTATTTTTTTTTTAAAATTTTTCATTTTCATCTCTTTTATTTATTTAATATAAAAAAAAATATAGATTTGATATATATATATATACCTTTACTTTATATAGAATAAAATATATTTTATATAGTAATAATCATAATAATAAAAATAAAAACTACAAGTTCATTCTTTGTAGTTTTATAAATTTTTTTTTTTTTCAATAATCTATCTTATATTTAAAAATTTGTAATAACAATATAGTAATAGTAAAAGAATAGAGTAGAAAAGAAAAACAGACTTTTATTTATTATTAAAATAATAAATAGATATATAGATATCATATATAACAATTCAAAATGATAGATCCAATTAATATAATTCAAGGTGAAGTTTATGGATTAATATCAAATTTAAAATTAAATTCAAGATGGTCATATAACAACTCTAGTTATCACGATACTATTTTTCCAGAGAATCCAATACTTAGATCTTTAAAAAATTTAACAAATATTTTACATAATATAACAGGTAATTAATAATCAATAAACCCTTAATTGATATAAAAGGAATATATTTATTAAAAAAAATTTTTTTTAGACTTTAAATTATTAGATACATGTGTTTATTTAGAACCATTTTTATCAGTAATCAAATCGAATCAAACAAGCGGATTTATAACAGGAGCTGCTTTAACTAGTGTTAACAAATTTTTAACATTGTTTATTAATGAAGAATCAAATAATATTCATAAGGGTATTAGAGACATTGCCGAAGCAGCAGCACACTGTAAATTTGAAGCAACAGATGCAAGAAGTGACGAAATTGTATTGATGAAAATCTTGCAAGTCTTAATATCATGTGTTAAAAACCCCGCTGGTATTTTCATTAGCAATGAATTAATTTATGAAGTCACTGTAACATGCTATCATATGTCTGATCAATCTCGTTCATCTGAACTCTTAAAGAAAATGGCAGAGAATGCAATTCAAGAAATAATTTCAACTATTTTTACAAGATATAATGTTTTTACATCACCACCTCCACCACCTCCACCACCTCCACCATCTGACAGTAATAATAGTAATATGGAAGAGCAAGAGGATCAAAATTCAACAGTCATTAATAACTTTGATGAAGATCTTGCTAGTGTTGAACCACCACCAATCCCACAAGATGAACCAGATAGCGCAAACACAACTGTTGATTTTTCACCAAATAATGACTTGTTTTTCAGTAATTTACCAGTTGCCGAGGATAGTAGTAATAATAACAATGAACAACAGCCATCAAATCAACCACCACCATTACCAACACCAGCTCAAGCATCACAACCAAAAGTACAAGCACCACCATCACCAACACCAGTACATGTAGATACTTCAGCCAATAATAGCAATAGTCATAAACATCACCAAAAAGCAAATAGCTTAAATACAGTTACATCACCCACCTTATCAAATAATACTCAACAACCATCTCAACAACAACCAACATTTACAATTAACCCAAGAGGTGTTAGATTTGATTCATCAAATGCTACAGAAAAGCCCTACGACGAAACAGTTTTAATTAAATTATTTAAGTTTTTCACAAATAATATAGCATCGCCAAATACTCAAGATGATATGTCCAAGTTATTATGTTTGAACCTCATCAATACTATTGTTCAAATCCGTGGTGAACTATTAGAATCAATTCCAGAGATATTAACAATAATTCAACAAGAGTTATTTAGATTCTTACTATTAAACCTTCAACAAAAGAGCGTTCAAATCTACTCACTGTCAATGAGAATATTTTTCAATTTATTCATCTCATTAAAAAGAACATTAAAGTCTCAGTTTGAAGCTTTCTTTAATGTATTAATGGTCTCTATTCAAGAAAATAATAAGAATCATTACGAACTCCAAGAATTAGCTTTAGAGGGATTAAGAGATTTTTGCAAGTTACCACATACAATGGTCGATTTATTCGTCAACTATGACTGTGAATTACATTGCTCCAATGTATTTGAGAACCTTTGTAAATTCCTTTATAAAAACTCTTTCCCAATCTCCCAATCCATTACATCACTACATTTATTATCATTTGAAAATTTATTATCAATTGTCCAATCCATCGAAGATCGTAGAAATAGAACTTTAAATGATAATGGTGCAAATAATAATAATAAAATTGATTATTTAAAGAAAAAAGAAATTAAAAAGCAATTAATAGTCGCAGCAGAGCACTTCAATCGTAGTCCAAAAGATGCCTTGGAATATTTAAAGAGTAAGTAGTTTATTGGTTATATATTAATTTTAAAATCACATTATCAACAAAATATTAATTTTTTTTTCTCAAGATAATAATTTATACTCACCAATAACTGAGCCATTAAATATTGCAAAGTTTTTATTAGAAGTACCAAAATTAAATAAAACTCAAGTTGGTGAATATTTGGGTAAGAGAGGACCATTTAATGAAAGGGTTAGACATGAATATATTAGCTCATTTAATTTAAAGAATCCAAATTGTATGCAAATTTTTAGAGAGTTTTTAGAAAGCTTTAAGATTCCAGGGGATTCAGCAGTGGTTATGATCATTTTTGAACAATTTGCGCAACTAATTTACGAAAATAGAACCGACAACTTATTTACATCTGCCGATAATGTTTATTTATATATTTATTCTGGTTTAATGTTGCACACCTCAATTTTTAATCCATCCATTCCAACAAAAGATAGAATGAACTTTCAATCATTTAAGCAAATGCTTTACAAAGATCTTCCATTAGAATTAATCCAAGAGTGTTTTGACGATATTTTCAAGAGTGAATTAATCCTTGAGGAAGAACCTGTACCAGGTGTAATTAACAATGGAAACTGGAGAAATATACTCAAGCGTTCAAAGAGAATCGGTGATTACATTCCCGCCAACACCAATGACTATGATAGAGAAATCTTTTCAATTGTATTAAATTTAGTTATTCCTGCTATAAGTAAGGTATTCGAAAAAATTGAAAACGAATCGTTATGTCAACGTATTTTGGATGGTTTCCAATTATGTGCCCAAGTCAGTGCCAATTATAATATTATTGAAGTTATTGACAATTTAATGACATCATTATGTAACAACACCAATTTAATAGATACCGAGCAAGTATTAGCAACAACTGGTTCATCAAATAGCTCTGGTGCAGGTTCAGGTAGTGGAAGTATCAATGCATCATCTGGTGCTTCATCATCATCAGTGTCCTCTTCATCATATGATTATTATAATACCAGTGGAGGTAACAATAGCAGTAGTTATAATGGTAATGGGGCATTTATTGGTGACAACAAAGCCCAATTAGCCACCATTGCAACATTTGAAATTGCTATTAAATACTCAAGTTTACTTGGTGAATCTTGGAGATTTATTATTGCTATCATTTGTAAATTAAACAAAATGGATTTACTCGATAACATTTTTGAAACTATCGACTTCCCAATCGAAAACAAAAACAATAACAAGAAAGAGCAAGAACCACAAAAATCAAAAAATACAAGTTCAAACTTTTTATCATTCAAATGGTTTATTACCGAAGAAGATGAGGAAGTCGTAATTGATCCATACAGAGAAAAGGCCAAAACATGCATCGATAACTGTCACATTACAGATCTCTTCCAAGAAACTAAATCATTACCAATGCACTCATTAGATCATTTATTACAGTCATTATTTATAATAACAAACCCATCAAAATCTCAACAACAACCCCAATCAAGCTCATTATCATTACAACCAAGTTCATCATCAGCATCCTCATTAAATAATAGCTCAAATAGTATTACACCATCAAATAACAGTGCACCAAATAGTAATTTAAATACCCCACCACAAAATCATAATAGTAACAATACTACACCAACAACAATAAATAATACTAATTCACCATCAATAATACCAACAAATAATATAGCGAATACAACCACAGCAACAACCACAAATATTATACCAATTACAACCCATTATTATTCAATTAATCAAAAACAAGAGTTATTTTGTTTTGATTTATTATCACATATTATATTATTAAATCAAGAAAGATTAGGTTTGGTTTGGAAGAAATATTTTGAACATTGTGAGTTAATCATAAATATTTTTGAGCAAGTAGTTTCAGTTAATTCAGCAAACTCACGTTTAATGATTCCATTAATTGAAAAGATCGTAGTTTCAATTATGTATTTAATAATTCGTTTATTAGACAAGAAGGAAGTATTGGATACTCTCCAACCATTTGTCAAGGTTCTAATTAGAATTGGCCCTGTATTAGACAACATTGCCGAAAAGATGTCAATATCATTAATTCAATTAGTTAAAAACAATATCAAGTTTATTTCAAAGACACCAGAAGCATGGGAACCAATTATTGCTTTAGTTATGCTCTTAAGTGGTAATCCAAAATCATCAAGTCGTGCTTGTGAAGCCTTAACTATAATGATTAATCAAGACTATCTCACTCCACAATTTTGTAAATATTGCTTAGAACCAATAACCTGTTTCCTTAGTTCAAAGACCATTCCACCTTCAGTTGTAGTAAAATCAATGGAATTATTATACTTTATTTTCAATAGTATCAACAAATCTGTAGTCTCTGATATTCAAAAGATTAATAGTTTAACCAATGGTGTCGAAGCATTTAAAGTTAAGGCTCAATTAAGAAAAGTGGATGATAAGATTAAAGAGAATTGGGGCGTATTCTGGTCACCAATATTAAAGAAGTTTGCAGCTCTTTGTTTAGATTCAAAAAATGATATCAGAAACAATGCAATGACATATCTTCAAAAAACCATTCTTTCACCAACTCTTGAAGAGTATTTACCACCACAACGTTGGATAGAATTCTTTGTCGATATATTTTTCCCACTTTTAGATAGTCTTAAAGAAAACTCAAAAGAAACCAACTTTGAAGATACTCGTTTACGTGCATCAGCCCTTTTATCAAAAGTTTTCCTTCAAAATTTAAATACAATTATAAAGAGCGATCAATTTACACTTTTATGGACCTATATCTTATCATTCTTAAAAGTTTATATGGGTTTGTCTGAATTACTTTCAGAATCTGTACCAGAATCACTAAAGAATATGCTTTTAGTTATGAATAACTCTGGTGTATTTAAACCACCTGTAAAAGATGATACCAGTAGCTCTGCTCAAATATCCGAACATCTTTGGAATACAACTTGGTCAACAATTAAAGAATTTTGCCCAAAAATTAGTGATGATGTTTTATCAAGAGTAGATCCAAATCATTTAAAACAAGCACCACCTCAACCATTACAACAAAATAATAGTGATAATGATAACAATAATAATAGCAATACCAATATAGATAATAATAGTAATGAAAACACAAATATAGATAATAATAGTAATACCAATATAAACAATACTCCTATAAATACCAATGTAGATAATAATATAAATAGTAATAATATAAATAGTAATTTAGATAATAATATAAACTAACACAATTATAAAAATAATGTATATGCTCTAAAATAATAAAATGTTTCAATTTACTATTTTTAATATCTTTTTTTTGTATTTTATTTGTTTTAAAAAAAAAAACAACGGGTTTATTATGGCCAGAAAAAAAGGGTCAAAATTTATTAAATAAAAAAGAACTTTTTAAAAAATGATCATTAGATAAATAATACTTTAAAGTTCAATTGAACTTTATTGTTTATCATCATTTGTTTCTTCTTTTTGATTTTCAAATGATTTTTGTAATTTTTTTTCAAAATCTTGATTTTTCTTTTTTGATCTCTTTAATGTTCCATGGTGATAATTGAAACCAGAGTTTTTAAATAGTTTTATTCTATTTTCTCTTTCAGTTAATGAAATTAAATCGTCATTAAAGAAATCTTTAATCTATAGTGGAAAAAAAATTATTAGTTTGATTATATATAAAAAGATTGAATAATAATAAATTACCTTTTCATGTTGGAAAATAAATTTAAAACTGAATTTTTCTGATAAATAGGTGTTTGAAAGCTTGGTTAAACAATAAAAAACCACTGGTGATCTATCAAAAAATAAGTGGGCTATGAAATTACTGTAATCGCATTTGTGTGAATGATTATGTTTATTTTGGTGATAAAAGATAAACTCCAATGCAACTAAAACTCTTACTAATTCATTTGAGGACTCTATGTATTTAAAAATTTCATTCATTTCTTCATATGGAATCGTTTGGTGGCTAAAATCTTTGAAGCCCATTTCATGTAATTTTTCGACTGATAATTCTCTTAAATCAGAACTATTACTATTGATTAAGTGGTGGAATATTTTAGTTCTATTATTTATATATTTTAGATCTGATAAAGAATGGTTGGAAATAACTGATTCACTGGTTTCCTCACCATCCCTGATTGAGTATTTATGAAATATTAAATCTATATTATAGTAATAATCTTTATTAGAGCTACTTGCAATGCATGACTTGCTTCTACGATGACCATGTACTCTTTTAGTTGTACCAGTGCCAGATGCCCCACTGCTTGCTACAGCACTACCCTCCATTATATGTGTTGAGCTTCTCTTTGATCTATTGATTCTATTTAGATCACCAGTACTACCACTACTATATGTGTTCCTTCCACTAATATTACTAGATGAACTGCAATCTAATCTATCGCCAAGGCTTGATGTAGAAGTATTGGTATCAATATTAAAACTTATTTCTTTTTTTACTTTTCCTATTTCATTACCTTCTTTTTTATCTTCTATACTATCAAAATTAAAACTAGTTTCTTTTTTTACTTTATTATCTTTGTTTATTATATCTTTATTACTGAGTAAAATAGATAACTTTCTAGCAGGAGCACTGTTTAATATAATATTGTTATTACTATTATTACTATAACTGTTTGATTTATTATCATTACTATTATTTGTTTTGCATTCTGGGTCACTGTCAAAATAATCTTCATAATCATCACTATAATCATCGTCAGTATACACATCATTATCATCATCACTATCATATGATGTTGATGGTGATTCATCATAGTGATAATTATTATTATTTAACTTGCCATTGTGATTGTTTTCAATATTGGGATTATTATTACTATTATTGTTATTGTTATATTCGTAGTAGTCATAGTAATCAAAATTTAATGATTTTACCCTATCTTGTAATTCTAAAAACTCGTGATTATTAGAATTATCGATAATTTCATTGTTATTAAAACCAATATTAATAGAATGATTTTGACTATTAAATTTCATTTTGATTTTAATTTTTGAATATTTAAATTGATTATTTGAATTATTGTTTATTTTGATTATTATTAATTTAAATTAAAAGAATGAAATTAAAATATTAATATTTATATCAAAACATTAATTAAATATTAAAAATTTAATATTTTTTTAAATATATTTTATTAATAAAATCGAAATTTACCTTAAACATCAAACCAATCAAAATCGTAATATGGTGAAATTGATTTTTTTTCCCATTCTAATTTTCTCTAAATAATATTTTTAATTTAATAAAAAAAAAAAAAAATTATAAAAATGAAAAAAAAAAAATCAAAACCTAATGATGTTGTATATGTTATTTATTTTAAATTTAAAAAATATCTTGCTTTACTAATTTAAATACTTTTTTTTTTTATAAACACTAATAATAAACAAAATTTTATTATAAATAATAAATATAAATTAATATTTGAAATAAATTTAAAGGAAAAAAAAAAAAAATTATTAATATATAATTATCAAAAACACTTTTTAAATCTCTTTTTTAAGATTTTTTTTTCTTTGTAAGAAATAGAGCATCGTTTAATCCCCTGAGCAAACAAAAACAAAAAAAAAAGATTGGTTTTTTTTTTTTTTTTTTGGGGGATTATATGGTATAAATTATAACTATATAATTATAATTTTGATTTTTATTTACATGAATTTTGGTTTTTAGTGATATGGTATTGATGATTAAACGATATCATTAATTATTATTATAATTATTATTATTATAAATATTATTAGCATTTTAAACATCAAAATTAATAATATTATTGGATTGTTTTTAATAAATTTACATATTGATAGGATGTATGAAGATCTGAATAAGTTTTTGATAATGTTGGATATGCGCTGAAATCATATGATGTTTGGATTGGTTCAGGAAATGGTCCTAAATTATAGTTTATAAACTCTGAAAGTAATTTTGTGCAATTAAATGGTGAAGTAACTGGTGATGAGCATGCTATATATTCAACCTCTACAAGTATACCTCTAACCTCTGTTCTAGCTACAATTGGTCCAATTCTTATTATAAAATCCCCTAATTCATATTTGCTTCCCTATGAAATAATTATAATTAATTAGTACATTATTTATATTATTATTAACTATTGATCTGTTTTCTTACTAAAATATCTGTGGTTTGTCTTTTTCTATAACTATTGGTTTTTTCTAAAATTGAAACCATTTCACGGTCAGTTTCAACTATTGTATCTCTGCTAACTACAAAACATTTCTTTGGTTTTTCATCGAATAAAAGTAAGTAAAAATCCCTAGGATTTAAATTTGATCCATCTGGTACCCTTTCTAAATATAATGAACAACTGATTGACCATGTTGATGACACTTTAACACCACCTAAAAACTCAATTCTTTTTGAGATTTCTGGTAATAATCCTTTATATAAAAAAATACTTTTTTTAAAAATAATATTAACACAAATGATTTATTTTACATAATTTGACATGTGTATATTTTATAAAATAACTATTATAACAATAATAAAAATTAAAAACAAAAATATTGTTTTATTACTATTAACTATTGTACTATTATTATTATTATAATGGATATTATATAACATTGTTTTAATAAAATTGTGTTTTAAATATTTGATATGTGTATATATGCATATTTGTGTTGTGTTGTATATTATATATATTGTTAATTACCATTTATAACCCATTTGTTTATTTTTTATTACAAATTAAAAAAAAAATGAAAATCAAAACTAAAAAAATTTAAATATTTTTTAAAAAAAAAAAAAATAAAATAATTATTTTTAAATAAATGAGAAAAAAATAATTGCAATGATTTATAAAAAAAAAATAGATTAAATTTTATTACTATTTTATCTGATTATAAATATATTTCTTTTTTTATGTTATTTTTAAAATAAAAGATTTTGAAATAAAATACAAAAAAAAAAAAAATAATAATAAATAATTTTATTTTAATTTATTATTATTATTATTATTATTATTATTATTATTATTATTATTATTATTATTATTATTATTATTATGATTATTTTTATACAAATAATGATTATTTATGATAATTATTTTTGTTTTAAATTAATATTAATTTTATTTAACACATTTTTTTTTTTTTATTTTTATTTTTTATTTTATTTTTAATTTTTATTTTTATTTTTAATTTTATTTTTAATTTTATTTTTATTTTTGATTTATTTTTATTTTTAATTTTATAACTAATTTATTTAGTATATGTACTTCTAAATAACATTCTCTCAGATCATAAGATAATAATAATTTTTTATTTGTTTTCTTTGTTTTTTATTATTTTTATTATTTTTATTATTTTTTTTTTTTTTCCTTTTCAATTTTAATCAAAACAAAAAGAGAATAAACAATAAATAACGCAAAAAGACTCAATTTGGTCTCAAAATCTCACAATAAATAATCAGTAAATAAATAATAATCAAACAAATCAATTATTATTATTATTAGAGTGAAAAGCCTTCTAATCAATATCAAAAAAAAAAAAAAAACATTTAAAAATTAAAAAAAATAAAAAAATAATTAAATAAAAAAAAAATAATTAAATAAAAAAAAATTATAAAAAAAATAAAAAATTTTAAAAAAAAAAAAAAAAATTTTTATAAAAATAAAAAAAAAATAATACAAAGCTTTGGATTTTTTTATATTTATATAAATTAAAAAAATATAAAATGAGTGACCCGTAAATATTATCAACTTATACATACACATCAATCAATCACATAGCAAATAAAATAATATAAGAACAAAGAATATAAGAATACTAACTTTAAATTTTTATTTAATAAACAAATACTATAACAAATACAAATAATATCAATAACAGAGATGTTTTCAAGATTTTATTAATAGGTGATTCAGCAGTTGGAAAAACTTCATTATTATTAAAGTTTGCAGTAAGTTTAAACAGAAATACTTTAGGTTTATTAATTATCTAAAAAAAATATTATTGTGGAAAAAAAAAAATCCCCAACCACCCATATTATATAATTAGATTACTAATATACAGAATAATTATTTTAGGATGATACATTTCAAGAAACTTCAGTTAATATGACTAGTGTTGATTATGTAGGTATCAATAGATAATTTTTATAAAAGCAAAAATCACAAAATAAATCACTATATTTTATATGCGTTTTCTCACATAGAATTTTTTTTTTAAAATTTAAAAAAATTTAAAAAAAAAAAAATTTTAAAATTTTAAAAAAAAACATAAGATGGATTTAATAATCATTTGCAGCATACATATAGTTTTAAATCATATTATTTTAGCTTTATTATTATTATTATTATTATTATAGAAAAAAAAAAAAAGAAAATTTTATTAATTTTTTTTTTTTTTTTCATTCAAAAGAAAAATAAAAATATTGTTATTGATGGCAGAACTTTTTCATTACAAATTTGGGACACAGCAGGACAAGAGCGTTTCAGAACTATCACTTCTTCATTTTATAGAGGGGCTCACGGTGTTTTAGTTGTATACGATATGACAGATCAAGGTACTTATAACAATGTTAAATTATGGATGCAAGAAATTAATAGATATGCCGTTCAAGGTGTTAGTAAAGTATTAGTTGGTAATAAATTTGACCAAGATGACAGAAAAGTAGTTTCATCAACAGTAGCAAAAGAATACGCTGATAGTATTGAAATTCCTTTCTTAGAAACATCTGCTAAAACTGGTTTTAATGTTGAACAAGCCTTTTCAACCATGGCAAACGAAATTTATAGATCTTACATGGGTGGAAGCATTCCATCAAGAAATGAAACAAAATTAGCCCCAGCAAAAACAAAAAAAACATTATGTTAAATAGTATATTTCTAAAAATACAATAATAATTAAAATAATAATTAAAATAATAATAACAATAATAATTAAAACAATAATAATAAATAATAAATAATAAATAATAATAACAATAACTCACTCATGAATAAAAATCACCACACAACCTCACCCTTATAAAAAAAAAAAAAAAAAAAAAAAGAAAGAAAAGAAAAAGAAAAAAAAAAAAAAAAAAAAGAAAAAAGATAAAGAAAGAAATATTTAAATAGAAAGGTCCATCTATCAGTACTAATAATCAAATAACACATAATATTAAAAAGATGAAAAGCGGGATCTATTTTTATTATTCCTTTATTCTTTTTTTTTTTTATTAATAAAATATGTAAAATTATCATTTTTTAAAATTTATAAAATAACAAAAAAACTATTTTATTTTTATTTTATTTTATTTTTTTTTATTTATAAAACTAAATTATTTTTTAAAATGAATTTTTTCTTTCTTTAATTAATTTACCACAGTTATAAACCTCGGTTTTTAATGTCTCATGGTCTAATGGGCTACGATCTTCTGGAGATAATCTAATATCGACTCTAATTAATTTACGTACAGTTTTATTTTCGTGGAGAATTGCACCTAATGTTTTCCAGGTCATATTTGGGATTTCGAATTTTTCTTTAATATCTCTAAGGATTTGATCTTCGGTACGGTCTGCGTACCATCTGTTGATTCTTCCATGTGCGTGTTGACCTTCATTACCTTTGTAATTCATTGCCTCTGGTAATTCAATAAAGGTAGTACGAGCAGAGACAAGGTGGTTAATGAGAGTCTCTTCAAAATCGTCACGAGTATTCATATCGAACCAATGGAAAATTGATAAACATAATTGGTATTCGTAAAGTTGTTGTTTTTCGACCAACATCTTGAACATTGTTGGATGAATTTTTGTTTTACATAAGAAATTGTTTTCGATATTTTGTTCTTTCATTTGAGATTCATGTTTAACAGTGGCGGCATTATATTCGTTGATAGCTTCTCCTTCAAAACTGTATACACGGGCTTGTGGGAATTTCTTTGCCATTTGAATTGAGAAATAACCTTCATTTGAGCCATAATCTGCGATTAATGAAGTACTTTCTAACTCTCTCTTATCAAGATTGAGTTCTCTTTCGATCATTCTCCATCTTGGTAAGTTACGATATGGATGGTATCCTTTGATATTCTTGTCACCTAATAGTCCCAAACCATCTAAATCTCTCTTTGAGCTTTGGAATAAAACCTTTTCTTTATCTTTCATCATTGTTTGGGTTTTCATTGAGGTTTGTGATCCAACAAAAATTAAGTCGTATGTGCTATATGTTGTTATAAAAGTTTGTTAATTAGTCGAATGTTAAATATTGAAGTTATTAAAAGATATAAAACGTTTAAATAGTTATATTACCTTGGGAAAACTGTTTGGAAAATATATTGTGATCTTAAAACATGGAAATCTGAAGTAACAATGAATAGTCTTTGAATATTGTGTTGTTTTAAAAATTCTAATGTATATTTAGCATTTTCAGCAGTATTTGTAGAGTTGTTTTCAATCATGATATCTCTTGCTGGAACATCATTGTGAAGAGCAATTTCATTCATAGCTTCAGCTTCACTATTGAAACCTTGATCTTCTTCGAATGAGGTGGCTTTGGACTTACCTGATAAAATTAATTTGATATTGCTTCCTTCACCTTGTAATTGAGCATAATATTGGGCGGCTAATACAACACGTTCCTTTAAAATTTGAGTTGGCATACCATCTGGGTGGAGCGAATAACCTAAAACAATAATAGCAGTATCATATTCAACTGGTTGTTGTGAGTCTAATCTTTGTTGAATTTGTTGCTCTTGTTGCTCTTCTAATATTTTATTAATCTCTTTTCCTTCTTCGCTTTGTGTAACTATAATATTTTTATTATTTTTATTCTCATCGTTTATTTGAATTTTATTTTCTTCTTGTTGTTGTTGTTGATTATAGTTTATCTTGTTTTCAGATCCATTCTTTTCAAATGTTTTTGTTTTTAATTTTTCATTACTATTGAGACTGTTGATTGCACTTGATTTGAATGATAAAAATGAAAATAAATATACAACCAATACTAAAATAACCAAGACTCTAACTTTATTTTTGCTGAGAGTTCCAATTATATTTTGGAATTTTGTTGGTCTTTGATTATAAAACATTTTTTAAAATTTTTGTAATATAAATCTAAACCTATTTATAGATTTAAATTATATTTATTTTATTATTATTTAATTATGACAAAAAATAAAAAAAGATATATGGTTTTTTTTTTTTTTTATGAAATTTTTACTTTATATATTTAATTTATTATAGTTTGATTGATATATAATGTATATACTAATATTTATTAGTGTTACAAAGTTACGATAATATTACAAAATAAAATTGCTATTATTTTATTTATTATTATTTGTGGCTATTTTTATTGATATTATGTATAAAATTATATATAAATAACCTATAATAGCTTGTAATCAAGTATCAATGGTCAACGAATTTAAAAAAAAAAAAAAAATTTATTTTAATTTTTATTTTTAATATTTTTTTTTTTTTATTTTTTTATTTTTTTTAAAATCAATATTAGTTAACCAACTTTTCAACTCTGAAATTTTTAAAAAAAATTAAATAAATCCATATATGTATATGAAAAATAATTATACAAACATTGTGTACATTATAATAAATAAAAAAATAAATAGACAAATTTTTTTTTTTTTTATTGTTTTCATACCTCTTTAAATGATAAATAAAAAAATTAGATTAATCAATACCATTTAAATATTATTTTTTTTTTTAATAAAATAAAATTAAATGTATTATTTTAAAGTTGCAATGATTCAAAAATATTTTTATAGTTTTTTTATACACCTAAATTAGCGCGTTTTTAAATTTTTAAAAATTTGTTTTTTTTTTTAAATTTAAAATTATCATTTTTTTTTTTATTTTTTTATTTATTCACAAAGTTATATAATTAGTAGAATTACAAATAATATAAACACACCTCATATTAATCACCCCATTTAGTATCAATTTAAACTCCAAAAAATAAATAAAAAAATTTAATAAATTTTTTATTTTTTTTTTTTAAATTTTAAAAGAGTTGTGCAATTTTATTAATAATATAAATAAATAGTTTATAATAACATATAGGAAATATAATAGTAAAGTAATAATATAAAATAAAAGAAATAGATGGGTTTTTTCATATCATAAATTTAAATTATCTATATTATAGAAAAAAAGGATATACAATAAATAAAATAATAAATTAATTTCTATTAAAATGGACCAATTAAAATCGATAAATTCAAATAGTATTACTTTTGGAGAGCAGGGGTTAAAGAATAATAATAGCAATCATAATAACGATAATAATGATAATAATGATAGTAATATTAATAATAATAGCAATAATGATATATTAAATAATAGTAATAATAGTGTAACAAGTAGTATAGGAAATAATTTATTACTAAATACGAGTTTAAATAATGCAGAGGATTTATTTTCGAGTCAAAATTCAAATAATACAAATTATTTTGATATACCGAGTTTTTTAAATAGTAATAGTATAAATAATAGTAATGGAAGTATCAATAATAGTATTCTAAATACAAGTGTAAATATAAGTTTAAATAATAGTAATATAATACCAAATTTTAGCCCAACATCATTATTACAACCCAATACACCCATTACACCCATTACACCTACAACGCCTTTATCCTCTCAAATACAATTACAACAAACCCCACCTAATAACGATGCTATAATACTGCAGAATAATTTAAAAGAACAATTACAAAATGAGGTTTTAATAATGAACCAAAATAATGACTATAATAATCGAGATATTAATAATGTTAATAATACTGTAAATATAAACCAACCAATAGAAAAACAAATAGAGTTAATAGAAACTGAAAAAGAGAATCAAGGACAAGGAGAACCAAGTAATATTTTTACTGAAATTGAGCAAATTATTAAAACTAAAGATGTGGTTTCAAAAAGAACAAGAGCACAAATTTCATTAGAGGGTTTGGATTTTGAACAGCTAGATAGTTATTTTGATGCACATGTCTTGCCGCCTTTGGAGGATAGTAATATTATAAATTATAGCTATGGTAATAATCAATTTGGTTTTTTAGATACTGCAATTTATAATGAAGATTACAAATTATTTATTACAAATCTTCAATCTGGTGTATCTCAAAATATTAATAACATGACAGAGGAGGACGATGAAGATTACATACCTCCTGAAGAGGAAGAAGAAGAGGAAGAGGATTCTACAGAAGATGATCATAACAATGGAGAAGAGGAAGAGTCTGGTGAAGAACAAAATAATAATGTTGCAAGTAAGTATTATTGGTTTTTTTTTTTTAATATTTAATTGTAATAATACTAATACTATTTTATTTATAGATGAAATGGAAGCTTTAGTATCAGATTTTTTAGAGAATGAAGCTAAAGAAATGAGTAGACAAAATGGGTTTTATAAAATGTTGGATTTACAATTGCATTACGACAATTTAACAGCATTACCAACACCAACCAACACTATAGTAACACCAATAATTGAATCACCACCAATCGAAACAATTAATTTTCAAGATTTAGTGATAGTCTATCCAGATATTCAATTGATTCCACCAATACCAGATTTCGACCCAAATTTTGTATATTCAGAGCCAACCTTAAACAATGGTGATGATTTGGAAAATTTAGATAGGGAAGAAGAGACCCAAGTTAATACAGATACACTACAGTTTAATAGTTTATTACCCACAATTTCAACAGTATCATCTTTAAAACCACCTCTGGTTCCAAGGGTAAATGCGAAAGAAATAAAAAAGGTTGAAAATGAAAAGAAAAAGAAGAAAGATGAAAACAAAAGAAAGAGAAATAAAGACCAAGATGATGGCAATAGTGAGGAAGATAAAGAAGAAAATCAGGAAGAAAATTCAGAGAACAATGAAGTTGTGCATAAGAAAAAGAGAAAGGCCGAAGGAGAGTTATCAATTACACCAGCCATAGTGCAACCACAAACACAACCAATACAGCAGCAGCAACTACAGACACAACCAATTATATTAAATAAGGATCAAATTCAAGAAGTCAAATTACAAATATCACAACATTACCAACTTTTAATTCAAGTTTATTTATTACTAAGAGTACAGACAAATCCAAAAAATTTCAGAAAGCCAAAGAAATCAGAATCAGATGGAGAGGATAAACAAAATAAGAAAAAGTATAAAACAAAGAATTCTGACCAAGTTGATTTTGATGAACATGATGAATACTATTCAAAGTATAAGAATGTAGTTAGGCAAATGCCTTCAAATTTGGAGCAACATGGGAAAATAATGGAGTCTGTTAAAAAGATGTTGGATGAATTGTATAATTATCATCAAAAGCATTTGGAGAACCAAGTTTATCGTAATATTATATTTCAACATATGGAGTCACCATCAAAAGTATTTACTCGTTCAGTTAAAAAGGCCCTCGTACCACAAATACCATCAGAGATGTTTGATTCAGAGTCGATAAAGCTGTATCCATATTTGAATGATCTTCTTGAAGAAGACCCAGAACCAACATTTAAAACAATGGAGATTATTTTATCAGTTTTTACAGATCACTTTTCACCATCAATTCTCTATGAATATGTCAAAATCAATCAAACCAAATTCACACCAGGAGAAGACTTATTATTGCTTATGGGTGTCAAAAGATATGGAACATTTCATTGGAAACAAATTTCAAAGTCTTATTTTCCCAATAAAACAGATGATCAATTATTCCATCGATATAAGAATTTATCAGCAACCAATAGTTCCTCAAATCAGTTAAAAGAGTATTTAAATAAAAATAAACTAAATAAAGAAGAGGAGGAAATATTCGAAATGGGTCTTATTAAATATGGAGAAAACAGTTGGGATATTATTTCAAAAGAATTGTTGCCATCAAAAGAACCTCATACTTTAAAGAAATTTTATGAAAAAAAAGAAAAATCAAAGAAGAAACGTATAATTAAAGAAAATAGGGCCAAAAGAAGAGAGATTAGAATTAAAGTTCGAGAAGAAAAAGAACAAAGGAGAAGGCTTATCGAAATGGAATTGGAACAAGATTATGAATTAAAAAGGCAACAAGAGGAAAAAGAAAAACATGAGTTACAAAAAAAAGGGTTTTTAGATTTAGATAATAGTAATAGTGAAAGTGATAATAACAGTGATGGTTATAGCGATAGTGAAGAGGATGATAGCAATAATGGAAATAGTGATAAAGAGGCTATAGAAATTAGTGATAACGAAAATAAAATGAAAATAGATAATAATTCAGCCACAACAACAGAAGAAACAACATCAGTAGAATCTAATTCACCTCAACAAAGTATTAATAATAATAATAATAATATAATTAATCAATCTAAAGAAAAATCAGATAATTTGGATTTGGTTAATGGTGTTTTAATTAAATGGACCAAAGAGGAAGATAGATCCATTTTATTAACCATTAAAGAAAAAGGAAGTACTGATGAAAGTATATGGAAATATATATCAGAGAATAAGATTTTAGAAAAGACACCAGAGCAAATTATGAATAGGTATAACCATCTTTTAGGATTGATCAAGAAATCACAGGCCCTTGCTAAAAAATGAATTTTTTTTTTCAAAAAAATAAATAATAAAAGAACCTATCTTATATTTACAATAAGATAATTTCTTTTGAATTTAATTTCTTATAATTATTAAAATATTAGATTTTAATATAACCATAATAAAATTTATATGAAAAAAATTAAAAATCAGATATTTTAAAATTATCATTCCAACAAAATCAGATATTTTCCTTACTATATTTTTTTTTTTTTAATATTTTTTTTATTTTTTATTTTAGCCTCCTATTTCATTAAATTTTTAGTCATTATCAAAAAATTTATTTGCATATAAAAGAAATACTAATCATATAAATAAAAAATAATGAAAACGAAAATTTTTTGTTTTTTTTTATCCTTTTTTTTTTTTAATTTAATAAACTCACAGACTTTATACGGCCACCCAGATAATATTTATATGGCCTATTCAACATTCTCACAATCCTCCCAATGTATTTTTAATAATGTATACACCCTCATAAACGTACCAAGCCCCACTTTTCAGATAGATATAGCTGATCAAAATAAAGTAAAATGTACTAGTAATGGAGATGGTTCATTTAGTGCTAATTTCACATTAGAACCCTCAAATTCTCAATACCACTTCACTATTGGTTTTATAAATGAAACAGCTATTTTAAAATTTAGCTTTTTTTTTATGTGTCAAAGTAAGTAAATTTATTAAAAAATAAAATATATAAATTAAAAAAACATTAAAATTAATTTTTTAAAAAAAAAAAAAAGGTTTAGATTACAACTCATTGATAGTTTCACCCATGAATAGTAGGATTGAACAGCTAAAAACAGGAGAATCTTATTTTTATCTATCAGTAAAAAATTTACAGTATCCCATTGCAAACATAGAAGATTTCTTAAAAACATTAACACTGGATATAAAATTCAATTCTGTTGTAATCACTAAAGAAATATATTATATATTTTTTTATAATTATATATTGGATACCAATGTTTTTGAACTTATATGTACATTCCCAAATAACAATTTAGCTTTCAAATTTAGTCCTTCTTTAAACCCCAATGCTTTTCAAAGTTTAGACATCCAATTAATGCAATCAGGATATCCTTTTCTTGAATATTCAACTCTATGGACACCTGTAGCATTGCTAAAATCAAATATATCTTATGACCAGGCTTACATATTATATAGATGTGATGAGTTTGTAACTTTTTATGCAAAGGTAATCGGGCAAAACATTATCGAGGGGGTCTCATATTATTACTATATTGTTCCTTTTGTAAATACATTTATTCGAGGTCAGTATACATATTTTATTTGGTATTATAATGGGCCATTTTTAAAAAATATAATATTTAATAATAATGATTATAAAGGTGAGTACTTTAATAGTATTAAGTTTTTATAAAATATTATAAGAATTTTAACATTTCCTATTTAGAATTACAGGTTGATACACCTCAAAATGGTTATTTAACGATTCAAGACGAAGAATATATGAGGCTTTCTTTTCTTATAAGTCGAAAGGATGCCTACGCAACAACTTATTCTTTTTATTCAGATAAAATGATTTCTACCTTTCCATATGGTTTTTTTAGTTATTCAGGTGATAGTATTATATATTCTAATTTATTTCATTCAAGGTTATCAGATTCTATTACTAAATTCAAACTATACAGCTATCCAGGAGGTTTTGAAAAGGCTATAGAAATAAATAACCCAGAACCAAATATTTCAACAGGTATTTTGATATTATTTTTAACTATTAAATTAAAATTTTAATACACAAACTGATAAAATATTTTATTTCAGATACATATCCTCCTGTTATAGAGTTTGCTGATGTTATACAAATTATAGGACTTAAATATTTATTGACAGTTAAAGTTATTGATGAAAGCGGTGTTTCAGGTTTCTTATTAAATAGTGATTATGATCCTATAAATTATGGATGCGAAACTTTGGTTTCAGGATCTAATAAAAATGGACTCTTTGAAATGATAATTCCAGATATTTCAAAATTTAGCTCTTTCATTGTTTCTGATTTTTATGGTAACTCCTTTTCTGCATACACAAAAGAATTAATTTCAAAAAATAAGTTACAACATCCTGTATATGTTAGACCCCCTCTTCAAAAGGTAGAATGTAAGTGTTGAACAATTTAATAATTAAAATTTGTTAAACTAAATATTAATATTTTTTAAAATATAGTGGATTTAAAGAATGTAGCATTTTTTATAAACAATATTGATGTATTCAATAAACCATGTTATAATACAATATATTTTAATGCTAATGTTCCTTCTAACTATCCACTAATCTTCAAATTGATGGATCCAGTGTCAAGTAGTTACAGTATATTTGGAAATATTAAAGATACATTCCCAGTTAATTGGAGCAGAAAATTAAATTTATTTTATTGCGACTTTATTATTCCAATGAATACAATAACTGGCAATATTCCATATGCTATTATCTCGCCTCATGTAAAAATATATAGCTCAATCCTAACACCTTTAATAGTTTCAAAAAGCAAATTAGATAACGATGGTCCAATAATTTCAAATATAATTAATTTAAATCAGTTTGGCCAGGTTGGGTGGAGAGTAACAATCACTGATCAAGTTAATGGTTTTAGTAACGGGTATTTTAAAGCAATAGGGTCATTCGATTTTTCTTCTTACAAGTATAATTTCACAGTTTCAGATGCAATTTTAGGTAATAAAATTAATAGCACATACGACTTTATTTTAAATATTCAAACCCCATGCATAGCTCAAGATTTTTTATTCGAATATATATATTTAGAAGATGTGGGAAAAAGAATATCAAAATTTGCAAAACATGAAAAAATGGTACAAACGGAAGTTAATCCATTAAGAAATTTAAATGTCTCATTAGAATTTTTAAAAACAACTTCAATATGTGATCCATATGTTCCAATAAATAATCAGATAACCCAATCCACTATACAGAAAAGTCTCGAACAATTAGATGTTGGTGGAGTCAATAGAACAGTTAAATTTATTTATAGTATTTCAACATTAGGTGTTGTTCAAATGAACCAATTACCAAAATTATATTTAACATCAAGTACAATGAAAATTATGGAATATGATTTACAATTGAAATTTCAAATTGATTATTGGTTTGATTACGAGTGTACTGTTGAGGTTCCTTTAGGGTTTGGGTACCCTGATTCAGTCTTGGTATCAGCCTCTGGAGTAATGACCAATGATGGAAATACCATAGGTACATCAGGTTTTCTTAATCTCATTGATACCAGTGTTTATTCATCAACTCCAATTCTTACTGGTTATGAACCATTCTTTTTATATTCATATGCTGATATAATAGTATATGGTAGAGGATTCGGTAGTGTATTTCTGATTGATGTAAACTTTTTAAATGGAACAATTATACAATATGTTCCAACAGTAATAGGTCAAACAGTTTTAAAAATTCCAATGAAAGACAATGATATAAAAGGACCTTTCGAAGTTTCTATCCAAAATACACAACCATATACCATTAAAATAATACCAGTTTATTTTAATAAATCAGAATCTTTTCAGGATATTCCAACAACACCAATCCCATCAAATAGGCCACAAGAGTGTTTGGGATCACCATTATGTGGTGGTCGATTACAAGGAACGTGTATTGAAAACCAAGGTTGTGTATGTTTTTCACCTTTTGTAGGTAAAGATTGCTCATCTCAAATAATTATTGTTCCAAAACCAAATATTAATAACACTGACCCAACTGTAGAGATTCCTGTCAGTGGAGATGAATTTTCATCATTTTATAAATCATTAATAACCATCGATTCTTTAAGAGAAATTTCATTAGACAATAAACCAGTTAAAAACTTTACATTCAAATCATGGATATTTAAAGAAATAGATTCTTTTTCAAATAGATACATTTCTAATATTACAATTGATACTACAACAGTTCAAATTACAGTAACATTAAAATGGTTTACAAACCAAACCAATATTGAATTTGCAGGTGAAAATTTTACTATGAACCCCTCATCATTAAAGTATACAATCGAAATATCTGAATATCCATTTGAAAGTACTTTAAATTCTTTACAGTTGGTAATGTCAGCATCGTTTAATTCAAATAATCAAAATGCTTGTTCAGCTAAAGAATATGGCGAAACTACAGCAGGTGATAATTCCAATTATCTAAAGATTCAAATTGAAAACAGATCATTATATGGCAGATTCATCAAAAGGGGAATAATTAAAAATAAAGACACAGAAGAGCCCACTGTTGTATTATTAAGGAACGAACTATTAGATTCTGAAATGAACCCAATAGTCAATCCAAATCAAGTTCAAACATATATCGGTATTTCAATACCATGGTTTGGTAGTAGCTCAATTATTGATCCTGATTTTTCAGTATTGGTAGATAGTAATTCAGCTTCCAATTCGCCAAATCCTACATGTTCATCAGAGTCAAAATTATCAGGTGCTAAAATTGCAGGTATTGTTGTAGGTTGTGTGGCAATTTTTTCAATTTTAATAGTAGCTATAGTGTATTTAATTTATAAAAAGAAAGTAGAAAAGAAATTCATAAAAAAAATTGATCTAAAACTAAAAGAAATAAAAGAATAAAATATAAATAATAATAATAATCTATAAATAAAATAATAAATAATAAATAAACAAAATAATTAACTAAAATAAACTTTTTTTTTTATTATATACAATTTAAACTATTAAATAATCTATATTAATTTGTTACGGAAGTCTGTAAGTTTTTTAAAAATTTCATCTGTTAAACCACTCTTGTCTGGGTGCACGAATTTAGATAAATTCCTATAATGGGAGTTGATTTTTTCTTTAATAGCCTCATTAATAAATTGATATGGGGATATAAAGTCGAAAATATCGTATGGAGTACGAGCCTGAGTTATTTTTTGTACTATTTTTTCTCTTTCATTTCTTTCTAAATTTAATCTTTCCATTTTCTCTCTTAACTCTTTGGCTTCTTTTTCTTTTTGCTCTTTGGCTTCTCTTTCTTCTTTTAATTTCCTTAGCCTTTCTTTTTCTTTTAACTCTTCATTTATCTTTTGCTGTTGTTGTTGTTGTTGTTGTTGTTGTTGTTGTTGTTGTTGTTGTTGTTGTTGTTGTTGTTGTTGTTGTTGTTGTTGTTGTTGTTGTTGTTGTTGTTGATTGGGGGTGAATTTTGATGAAATTGGTTCAGTGTTTGACCAATAGCAGGTGGATAAATATAAAAATACCAATGAACCTTTTAATTTTGAGAATTGTTTTTTTTCTTTTAATCTTATTTGATTAAATTCGCTAGTTTGATTTAACTTGTCTTGAATCAACTGATTCTTTTCTTTCATCATATAACTGATTGTATATTTAAAAACTTCATTGATTTCGTTTGACTCTTGAAGTTTTTTTTCTATTTCACCCATTTGTAAATTTATATAATTAATTTGAGCTTTTAAAATAGAACTATCATTGGCGGATTCGGTTTCTATTTGCTTAACCCTTTCTTTTAAATTTACATTTGATTGTGCCAAGTTACGATTTTCCTGAACTAAACTTTCAACTTTGTTATTTAAGTTTCCAATTGATGAAATTAAATGGACAATCTCTTTTGCTTTTTCTGATAAAGTTTCTTGTAATTTTTGTTCCTTCCTTGTGATCTCGACTATATCTTCTGATGTTTTGGTTAGTGCTTTGATTTTATTTTCCAAGTTATATTTATCAGCTTTCAACTTTCTATTAGAAGCCAATAATCTTTGAATTTTTGAACTTTCATTTTCATTTAAATTTCTTGAAGAAAAATCATTGGTCTCTCCAGTGTTTGCATCCAATTTTAATCTTTGGTTCTCGTTTTGTAAGTCATTGATTTTAATTTCTAAATTATCTTTTTCTTTGGACATTGCTTCAAGCTTTTCTTTCAGGGAATCATTTTCTTTTTTGTAATTCTTTATAGATTCTTTCTTCTTTTCTAAATCTCTACGAAGAAAGATGTTGTCTTGTGATTTATCATTATATTCCTTTTCTAATTTTTTAATATGCAATTGATATTCTGATATCTTGTCTATATATTGTGAGTTTTCATTTGTTAAAAATTTGATTTTATCCAAGTATTTATTTTGTTTCTTGGTTTTACCTTGTGAAAAAGAAAAAATGTTTGGATTATTTATACTGCTACTACTATTATGAATATTATTATTATAATTTATATTGTTATTATTATATATATTATTGTTGAAATTATCATAAATATTATTATTGTGCATCATAGTTAAATTAATATGGGCATATGTTTGTTAAAAAATAAATATTGCAGATCAAAAAAAAAAATTTATTAAAAATTAATAACGGAGAAAATATAAAAACAAAAAATTAAAAAAAAAATAATTTTAAATTTAAATTATTTATTTTTTTAAAATTATTTTTATTTTTTTTTTTAATAAATTTTCATCAATCAACACCTATGAAAATCATCAATACAAACATTCCATACAATCATATAAACTTTTTATATTGATAAATTGTTCAAATTAAAAAAAAATTAAAAAATAAATATAAAAAAATAATTATTTGAAAATTATAACCCACTAAAATATAAAAGGAATAAATTTTAACATAAATAAAAAATTAAATCAAAATAAATAAAACATGCAAATATTATCACAAATTTATTCCTCTATTTCTTTTTTTTTTTATTTATTTTAAAAATTTATATATAGTTTTTAATTTTTAATTTTTAATTAAATTTTTTTTATAAATAAAAATGTATCCTCACCCAATTTAATTTCTACTTAAAACAGAACAACCTCTTTAGTTTATATGTAAAAAAAATAAATCCAATAATAAAAATATTTCAGTAGAAATAATATTTATTTAAACAAAACATAATCATTTTGAAATACGGAAATAATAATTTATTTATGGTGATTTCCAATTAAAGTTTATAGATTGTATGGGTTTAACTTGCAGAATTGAAAAACACATTTATAAAAAAAATACACACTATTAAAATTTAAACAATTATACAATCCATTTATCCTCTTATATTTCTTATATATCAAAAAAAAAAAAAAAAAAAAATAAATTTAAAAATAAAAATAAATTAAACATTATATTTATTATTTATATTTTCAGAAAAAAAAAAAAAAGATTTATTTTTTTATTTATTAATTTAATTTATTTTATTTATTTATACAAGTGATTTTGATAATTTTTCAAACTTATCAAATGAATCTAAAAGATTTAAAGCTTTTAATTGTTGTTTTACCCATTTAGTTGATTTAAGAATTACACGCTCCCATTGTGATTTTTGAGATGAAAAATCTTTGGCGATTTTAGCGATAACTAACAAAGTGGACCAAATATTTTCGTTTGTGTTACTGGAAAGTTCTACTGGAGCTTTAGTCATATCGATGTTGAATTGGGTGACTGAATTTTTTTCAAATGAACCATTGGCTTTTTGTAGTTTAAGTAAATTAATTAATGGATCATTATTGCTGAGACTGTTACCTTTTGGTGAGAGTGATCTAAAAGAATCTAATTGTGATGTTGAAGTTGGTGCCATTGATCTAGACATTGATGATGATCTTGGTGGTGGTGGAGCACCTCCTGGTGGTGGACAAGGCATGCTTGAATAACATGATGGTGAGGCACCTGGTGGTGGTGGTGGTGGACAAATCATGCTTGAATAGTTTGATGGTGATGGTGATGGTGGTGGTGGACAAGGCATGCTTGAATAGTTTGATGATGATGGTTGTAGTGGGGCTGAAACAGACGACATAAAAGAAAGAGATGACTGATCAGACATTTTTCTACTTTTAACCATACCACCGCCTCTAGAAATACCAGTTGCTCTGATTGGTGATTGTTGAAGTCTAAATCTTTCTTCTTGGGCCTCTAATACATTAACAGACTTCATTGATTCCTCGGTAACCTCACCTTCACCTTCGGAAGTTACAATATATGAGGTATGTTTTGAAACTAAACCATATCTTTTACCCAACTCTACAATTCTATCTTTGTTATCTTTATTTTGTTTTCTTTCACCCTCTTCAAGATCTTGAATTTGTTTATAGGCTGCAAGTGTATGGACCTGAGTTGATGATGAGTCGACTTTAGTAAAATCTAAAGTAATTGGGAATCTTAATTGTTCACCTAATGGACCATCACCTACCATTTGAATTGTGACTGGTGAACTGATGCTGCTTGGCTCTTTATTTAAAATACCATAGACCATCATTCTTTCACGATTGAATACTGGTCTGATAGTTGATGGGGATTGGGTAACTGGTAAATCACCCCATTCAATTTTGATATTGGCAAGAGTTGGTTCGTTTGCAATGCTTAAAAGTTTCATAACTTTATCTTCCATATCGCCATTATCGAGAATGAATTCATAAAAACCTTTGCAGGCTTTTGATAAACCAATAACCAATTCTTTATCGACACTTGTACCAATACCAAAAGTGAACATACGGGTTGTATTTGCTTCTTTGCCTACATAGTCAATTAATTGATCTCTAGCACTTACTGCACCATCAGTTAAAAGGAAAACTTGTCTTGGATACTCTGCATCACTATCTTTACCTAAAATATCTTTAATTGGTGGTAATAATTCAGTACCTCCTAAATTTGCACTGATATTATCGATATAGGCTGAAGCCATAGCTAATGATTCATCATTGTATAACAATGACTCTGGGAAAACTTTATTGAAACCAGAACCAAAACAATAAATATTAAATTTATTTTGTTCACTTAAACTTCTTACACAAATTTCTAGTGCTCTAAATAATATAAAAAATGCATTGTTAATAAATTTATTATAATTAAAACAAATAATGAAATATGAATAATTTAAAATATTTACCTTTTAGCTTTAGTAATTGGAGTTCCTGACATACTGCCACTACAATCGACAACAAAAATATATTCAGATTTTTGACTTATATCTTCGACACAAACATCATCGAAAACTGGATAAAAGTTTAATGCTAAAGCACAGGTTTTTTCTTTTTGATCGTATTCAATTAATGATTGTGGCTTATCGGATGTTTCTGGCTCGATAATTGCAATGACATTCTTTGGGACACCTGTTGAAGTGAATTGAACATTGGCCTTCTTTTTGCCGTCAGAGTATTTAATGGATGGTTTATAACTATCAATTACAATATCTTTCATTGGAGATGATAATGAAATATTTAAATTGTAATTGAATTTAAAGTTGTTTAATGGGAACATAAAACGATGTAAACAATAGTGTAAACTATTTAAATGGGTACCAATTTCAGAAACAATGGTGAGTCTAATGGTGACCTTTTCTCCTGGTGGTAAATTTCCAATCATAAAATTGAAGAGACCATCATCAGTTTTCTCACCCATGAATGCTTGACCACCCGATGCAATAGCATCAGCATATTTTTCTTTGGCTTTTGATTTTTCTTTAATTTTTGCTTCTAAAATCTTGTCTTTATATTCTACAACGAATCTTGATACAACACTACTTGGAGATAATGGAATTTTATAATTGGCTTCGACTGGCGACTTTGAATCGTTGGAATATTCTTGGGTCCATACTGATACAATTGAGGTATCATTTAATTCAGATGTAATATCGAAATTTTCTAATTTAAAAACATTTTGTAAACTGTTTTGGGGCATTAAGCATATTCTTCTTCTAAATTCTGATTCTAAAGTATTTTTATTTTCTAAAACTCTATAATAATTATAATAATTTGCTTCTTTATAATCGTGTATTGAATGTGAATTTGACGATGATGAGTCTGGTGTTAATGGTGATACTATTTTTTTAAAAAACATCATTTTTATTTATTTTGTAGGTTTATCTAAATATATATATATAATATTATTATTAATTGTAATTGTAAAAGGTATGATTTAAAAAAAAATAATTAATTTATTTATAAAAAAAAAAATTATGAAAATTAAAAAAAAAAAAATAATTAAAAAAATTAAAAAAAATATCTTATCACCAATTCTTTTAATTTTTTTTTTTAAAAAAAATAAAAAAAGAAAAAATGTGGAAATTATCAAAGAATTATTTTATTTAGTACTTGATAAAAAAATTAAATAATCTTTTTTATTTTATTGTTTATCTTTGAATTGTTTTATTATTTATTTGATAAAAAAAATAAAAAAAATAAAAAAAATAAAAAAATTGGAAATAAATTGAAATAATTTATTTTATTTATATTTTTTTATTTGCAAATAATAAAATTAATATATTAATATATATATGAAAAAATTATTGGTAACTTGCCTTTTTATGTTTTTCATCATTGAAAATAACTATAAACCAAAACCAAATAACTATTAAATAAAAAAAAATTTTATTTCAATTGATGATAGTTTTTCTCTGAATCGATATAATTTAAAATCATAAATACTAAATTATTGATATTACCAAATTTAATATAATTTTTTTTTTTTACTTTATTAATTTTATGTTTGTAAAAACATCTTTTTTCTTTTAATCTCAATAAGGGTGATTCCCATTTTATTTTTTTATTTATTTTAAAAATAGCATTTAATTTTTTTTTAATTTACATTTTTTTTAAATTAAATTTTTTTTTTTTTACTGTTTCTTAATTTTATTAAAATAAAAAAAAAAAATACTAATAATAAAATAACAATAAAAAATAAATATAACTATATAATTAAATAAAATTTATAAAAAATGAATAAAAAAATAATTAAACTACCAAATTATTTATACAAATATATTTTAAATTGTATATTGGTTTATATTTATAATAAATTATCAGTTTCCTACTATAATTCAGTTTTTAATAATAATAATGAGGTAATACAATTTTCATTAGTATGCAAACAATGGTTTAAATATGTATCAAATATTTTATCATTACAAATTAATTATAAAAACTATTTTGCACTCTACCCATTAATTGAAAATCCTACTCATAATCTCCATAATAAATATAAAATAATTAAATTATCAAACTTAAATATTTTATACGATATGATTCTTACCTCTAATCATTTAGATAGATATATTAATAATATTAATAACAGTAACAATAACAATAACAATAACAATAACGATAATAACAACCACCATAATAATGATTATAATTTCAATAATAAAAATATTTTAGTTCATTCTTTTGATTACATGGAGTCAAATAATATAATTAAAAATATCAGAAGATTCCCAGATTGTTTTAATTTTAACCTATCACTATCATCAACTTCACAACCTGAAAACTATATTCAACTATTAAATAACTCTAAAGATTGTTTAAATAAAATTAACAGAGTAAGTGTCAATGATCATGGTCAAAGAGATGGTTTGAAAAATATATTAAAGCTAAATGATATCTATAATATTTCATTTCAAGATGACTACTCCTCTTCATCAAATATACTCTTAAAACTTAAATTCAACCAAACAAAGAAATCAAAAATAAATATTGATCATTTAATATTAACATATAACTTTAATAAAAACAACTATATGGACAATTACCAAACATCTACAAGAAAACTAAAGAAATTTAGATTTGATACTACTCTTAATAAACTAATCTTCAACAATAAAACCAACCTTCTAGGCATTTCTGATGAAGAAGCTAATAATCAAAACAACAATCACAATCAAGAAAGTTGGGAAAACATTGTAAAGGTATTATCAAATGATCAAACACTTCAAAGATTATCAATTAATGATCAAGGGAATATTTTAGGTCGATCTATGTTCAGTAATATCGAAACATCTTTAATCTATGGTGGCTTTGGATCAATTTTAGCAAGTCCTTTATCCAACATCAAATCATTCTCCTTCTTTTCTGACTCTGTTGAAATAGATCCACAATTACTAAAGGGTATATCATGTAACAAATCAATTCAAAATCTTACAATACCAGCCAAGTATTTTGTAAACATTATTAATAATGAAGTAATGGTTAATAATAGGACCATTAGAAATTTATTTATAACCTCTGGAGTAACTGAAGCATTAGAAAGTGAAATTTTGGAAGGCCTACATATGCTATCAGTAATAGAACAATACAACACTATGATTGATATATACTCCATTTCTTTTGATATCAATACAAACAATGAAAATCTTCACAGTTTAGTATCATTCATTAAATCAAATCACTTTAATATCAAAGAGTTCAATATTACAAACAAATATAACCCACATTTAGTATATGAAAGAATTTCATATCAGCTACATTCAAACCATTCTATAATTAATGTTTCTACAAGATAAAATATCTAAATAACCAATTTTAAATGTACAATTAAATTTTTTTAAATAAATATAATAAAAATAGTTTTATAAAAGTAGTTTATGTTTATGTTAATTTGTTTATTAAAGTTATGGGTGAACACTAGTCCAACCATCTTGTAATCTTAAAATGATTTCACCATTTCCGGATGGAACTGGGTTAACACCTGGGAATAAGTCGGCTTCAACATTGATGTGGTATGCGTTGATGGTATTGTTACACAAAGCAAATGTGCAACCAAGTACAGTTAATTCCTTTAACATTGGTTGGAATTCTGGATTGGTGTTCATGTAAACTTCGACACCTTTACCGAAAACTACTAATAAAATTTCTAAATTGTTTACTAATCTTGGATCGTGGTATGCATTATAGATATTGATGAGTGTTGAATTGATTAATGTAAAATCACTTGTATCTAAAATATACATTGTTTTATAGGTTAAGTTTGGAATTGGTTTAGCTGGTTGAAATGGTTCATCTCCATATTTGTTATTATGATTTTTATGATTATTATGGTTTCTATTATGGTTTCTATTATGGTTTATTGAAAATGATGATGATGGTAAAACCAAAAATAAGATACTAGCAATTAATACTAAAACTGTGATTAATTTCATTTTTTTATATTATTTATAAATTTGAATTGTTTATTTATCTTTTTATTTATTTAAAAACTCCCAGAATTTAAAAGTAGGAAATAAAAAAAAAAAAATAAAAAAAAACAAAAAATTAAAAAAATGAAAACAAAAAAAAATAAAAAAAATAAAAAAAAATAAAAAAAATATAATCTGTCTGGGGTTATGAAATTTCATTTGATTATTCATGCAAATAATTTTGCATTGGAGATTTAAATTTTAGTGTAAGAATTATAAATTAAAAAAAAAATTAAAAAAAGAACAAAATTTTAATCTATTTTAAAAATATCTTTAGATATTTTGGGACAATGAAATAATACACACCATTTATTTTATTTGAATTTTTATAAATAACTCATTTTCTATTTATATTTAATTTAATTTAATTTACAAAAATATGATTAATAAAATAATTAATGAATTTATTTATCTGATAATTTTCCTTATTTTTTTAAAAAAATTTATTGAAAATAATTTTATAATTAATTTTTTTTTTTTTAATTTTTTTTAATTTAATTTTTTTTCAATTTAAATTATCACCAAATTTATAAATTAATGGAAAATCAAGATTATTTTTTACTTATATGGAGGAATTGTTATATTAGAGGTATAATAAAAGAACATTTAGACCTGTATAAAGCAAATTATAAAGTTTTTATCAGATCTAGGGAAGAATTATTATCATTTCAAAACAGAGACTACATCACAACCTTGGTCTATGATATTATTGAGGAAGTATTAATCAATGATATTCCTCCGTCAGTAAAGACCCTCATATTTGGCAACCGTTTTAATAAAGTTATAGAGCCTAACACCATACCAGGGAGTGTAAAGCACTTGGTTTTTGGAACACATAAAATAAGAATTGTCGATAAATATGGAAATTTTCATTCGAAATATAATCAAGATCTAAATATAGGATCACTACCAGTCGGATTACAATCACTAGATTTAGGCAATTCTTTTAATAGACAACTTAAACGAGGCCACATTCCAATGGGACTAGTTGAACTAAAACTTTCAAACCAATACAATTTTCCATTGGAACCTCATATTATTCCTCCAACAGTTAAAAAGCTAACTCTAGGTAGATATTTCAATCATCCAATTAAAAAAGGCGATTTGCCAGACCTACTAGAACTATCTCTTGGTGAAAATTTCGACCATCCCCTGCGACCCAACCTCCTACCCACATCTTTGAAAGTTCTTACTCTTAGCTATCGCTTTAATCAGCAAATTAAAGAACTAGACTTTCCTCCAAACCTTCATACACTTAGGTTTGGTTACCTATTTAATCAACCGCTTAAAGAAAAGGATATTCCTCGAAGTGTTACATCCCTCGAACTAGGTGGTGCTTTTAACCACCCAATTAAAAAAAATATAATTCCTTCCTCTGTAACAGTTTTGAAATTATCCAAAAACTTTAACCAACCATTACTACCATTATCGATTCCATCTTCTGTTACTCTTCTAGATTTGGGGAATGACTTTGATCAACCTCTAAAAGAGGTAAATATATTAAAACAAACTGCAATCATAACATAAACTTTAGTATACTAACATGTATTTCAATATAGGGCTTAATACCATCAGGTGTTAAATTTATTAGACTATCAGAAAGATTTAACCAGATAATTAAAAAGGGTTATATTCCAAATACATGCGAAACTTTAGCATTTGGCTTTTCCTTTTCAAAAACGATCAATAGAGGTGTTCTTCCAACCTCAATTAAAACTCTCACCCTGGGTGGCTCTTTTTCACAAGATCTTGAAAAAGGTGTGATACCACAAGGCATTACCGAATTAAGATTCGGCCTTAAATATAACAAACCAATCAAAAAAGATTCTCTTCCCTCATCATTAAAATACCTAATTTTTGGTGTTAGTTTTGGACAACCTCTCACCCAAGGAAGCATTCCACATAATGTCGAATATATATATTTTGGAAATTCATTTAACCAACCAATCAAGAAAAATGATTTACCTCCAAACTTAAAAAAAGTAATTTTTTCAAATTGTTTCACTCAACCCCTTTTCCAAGATCACCTCCCACAATCATTAGAAACTCTAGTTTTACCAACAAGATACAAACTACCATTGGACTTACCAAGTCATATAAAAGTAATTAAAGGAGATACTTTCTAATATCAAAAAAAAAAAAAAAGAAAATACAATATTTTTCTAAAAAAAAATTAAAAATAGTTTTAAAATAAAGTTTTTTTTTTTTTTTTTTAATTTAAAAAAAAAAAGGTATATTAATTTATTTACATAATTTGAGGGTTTTTGGAGGAAGCAGATATAATTAATTTATATTTTGAAAAAAAAAAAAAGTATTATTTTATATAAAAAACTAATCATCATAAATATTTGGTTTTTGTTGATTATAGGTGAAAGAGTTGGAAATAATTTTGTTGGTATAAGATTTTTTATAAACTCTATCATAATAATCATCATCGTCATCTATTATTTTAGAGTGTATATTATTTGATGATGAATTTGAACTGTTACTATTTATATTATTATTTATATTATTACTATTACTATTATTATTACTATTATTATTATTATTATTTTCAAAACTATTATTATTTATATTTTCATTATTATTTATATTATTATTTGTATTAACTTTTGTTGATTCTAAAATTTGAATAATTTCTTTATCTTGATTTTCTTGAATTAATTTTTCCAATGCTAGTTTTTTTGAAGCACCTTTTGATAATAAATATTTTACAAAATTTTGTTTACCAGCTTTTGCTGCCAAGTATAATGGGGTGTAACCTTGATTATCCATATCATCTACATCAATTGAATAGCCTTTAGTTTCAAATATCATTTGACCCATCATTAATGAACCATATTGAACAGATAAATGAATTAAATTTTGGCCCATATTAGTCTTTGAATTTAATTGTGTTGATGGTACTTTAATTAAATTCTTAACGGTTTCAATTCTTGATTCTCTTACAGCATAGTGGATTGCAGCATAACCTTCAGCATCTTGAATATTTGGATTTGCTTTACTTTCCAATAAGAGTCGGGTGATGAGATCATGGCCCATTAATGCAGAGGCGTGTAGTGGTGAACGGCCTTCACCATCGATAGCATTTGGATCAGCACCATTTTGGAGTAATAATTTTGCAATTGGATAGTAACCCATAATTGATGAGTGATGAAGTGGAGTACGGTTATTAACATCAAATACAGTTGGCTTGGCTTCGTTTTCTAATAGCAATTTACAAATTTTTTCAAAACCTTTTAAAGAAGCAATGTGGAGTGGGGTTTCACCATTTTGTTTAGTTTTAACATAGACCTCAGCATTATTTTCTAATAAGCAACTTGCAATATTAATATGGCCACCTTTACATGCAGAGTATAATGGTGATACACCATCATCATTGACAAGATTTGGATCGGCACGATGTTGAAGTAAAAACTCGGCAATTGGTTGGTTACCTAATAAAGAGGCAGCAATTAATGGAGTATTACCTTGACTATCTTTAATATTTGGATTGGCACCACTTTCGATTAATCTTCTAACTTGATATTCATAACCCAAAAAGGCGGCAGTAAAAAGTAAAGAAAGACCTTTGCTATCACGAGCATTAACATCGATTGAAGTTGGATCGTCTGGATTATAACGAATGAGGAAATCAACATTATTTGGTTGTAAAAGAATACGATTCCAAGCAGATGCAACAGAGAATTTTTCACCACTACTTCCGATACCAGAGTATTTATTAATATTTCTTTGTGAGGAATATCCGCCTGGTGAACCACCCAAAGCACTGTAAATTAAATCTGAGCCACCATGATTTGGTTGTGGTTTAAATTCCATATTTCTGGCTTTAGCTCTTCTATTTTGGAACCAAATTTGAACCGATCTAGCTGTCATTTGTAATTCAACAGCTAATTGACTTCTTAAATTTAAATTTGGATGTTGGTGTGCGAGGAAAATCTTTTCTAACAATTTTAATTGGTCTGGTGATGTTCTTTTTCTTTTCTTTTTTGATGGGTCATCTTGATTTTCAATTATCATATCATTTGATCTTGATAATAATTTTGATAAACTTGTTTGTGATGAATTATATTGTGATTGTGGTGATGATTGGTTATTATATTGGTGATGATGGTATTGTTGTTGATTATAATGTGGATGTTGATTATATCCATTATTATTATTATTATTACTATTGTTGCTATTATTGTTATTATTACTGTATTGTTGTGGTGAATTATTATAATATGGTTGATCATATGAATCATAATCATCTCTATCAACATTGTGTTGTTGACCTTGTTTCATGGGTGGTGGTGTATTATTATTACTATTATGATACATTGATTGTTGATTTAAATACATTAATTGAGATCTATTTGCTAATGATGTCATTTTTATTTAATTTTTTTTATTATTTATTTAAAAAAAAAAATAAAAAAATAAAATTTTATATTTATTTATAAAAAAAAAAAGATATCTATTCAAATGTTATTATTAATATATTTATGAACTTATTTTTTAATTATAACTAAAAATCTTGAAAAAAATCTGTTCTATATTAAAAAAAAAAATTTGTTAGAATAATACATAAATAATGTGTATATGTGTGTGAAAAAAAAAAAAAAAAAATTTAAAAATAACAACAAGTTTTTTTTTTGAAAAATGGAAAAATTTTATAATTAATTTGATTTTTTTTAATTAATAAAAAATATTTTGATCAAAAAAATAAAAATAAAAAAGATGGTTTTTTTGGCAACAAAATTTTAATTAATTATTGGTTATGTTTTGTTTTTTTGTGTGGTTCCAAATGTCTGTTTTGAATTTTTTTTTTTTAAAAAAAATATTTATTTTGGACCAATTGTTTAAAGGTTTTTTGTGGGTGTTTTTTTTTTTTTTGATAGGAATGGAAAAGAAAAGAAATAAAAATCCAATTTAATTTTATTTTGTGGAAATATTGCTATTTAAATGGTGCACTTTTTAAGGAAAATGGAATATGGTGTAAAACAATTATAATCTATTATAGAACAATAAGGTGTGATGAATTTAAAATTAAAAAAATCTAAGCTTTATTCAAGCTTTGGAATATCTTTATTATTTGTTGAATTTTATTAATAAAAAAAATAAAAATAATAAAATTTTACAATTTATATTAATGGTTGTTTGTTGCTATTTTATTTGTTATCTTTTTTTTTTATATGTAACTATAATATTATATATATGTAAATTTTAGAAAACTTTAAAATTAAGTAATTAAAAACAAAGAAAAAAAAAAAAAAAAAAAAAAAAAAACTGATATTACACTCTATGTTTAAATATTATTTATATTATAATAATAAAAATAATAATAAAAATACTGATAATATAATGATAAAACAAAAATAAATTAAATTTTAAAAAATAAATTAAAAATAAAATAATTGAATTAATTAAAATAAATTATTGTTATTATTACTATCAAGTTATTTTAAGAGAGTGTGTGTTGTTATGTTGTTGTTATGTGTGAAAGAGTGTGGTGTGTGTTAACAAAAATTTATATTGAAAAAAAGAGAAAATAAAAAAAAAATAAAAACATAAACAACAAAAAAATTATAATCCTTGTGTATTTCCAAAAAACATAATATGATTATATGGATGAAGGGGTAGTTTTTTTTTTTTCTTTAATATTTTTGAATGAGAGTTAAAGAGTATGTGGTATTTTGTGATGATTTTATGATGTTATTTTTATGAGTGAGTGAGTGTGTGTGTGTGTGTGTGTTATAAAAAAATTATTATTTATCAAATTAATTAATTAAATTAATACCTGTAATATATATTGATCTTTTAATTTTATAAAAATATTTATTAAATAAAGGTAGACGGATAATTATTTATTGTTATTGTTATTGTTATTGTTATTGTTATTGTTGTTGTTGTTGTTGAGCAAAGTGTACTTTTGTGTATTTATACAAATGTGTGTGTGAATTAAAAAAAAAATATTTTTTTTTGAAAATGTGTATATCTATTTATATATATGTACTATGTATGTAATTATTATTATTTTTGATAATTTATAAAATAATAATTGAGTGTAGGGGTGGTTGAGATTTCGTGGGTTTTTTAACAATTGTTAAGTTAATTATCAATTTATAATCGATCATCAATATAAAAAAAACAAAACAAAAAATATATACAGCAGTTCTTAATTATTATTATTTTATTATTACTATTATTAATATTATTATTATTTTTATTTATAAAGTATATAAATATTCTTATTATTATTTTAATTAAAACATAAAGATTAAAGTTGAAATAAACTATTATTTTTTATTTTAAAGAAAAAAATAAAATAAAATAAAAATAAAAATAAAAATAAAAATTATTATTTATAAATTAAATTTTAATAAATATTTTGAGATTGTTGAGATATTTGAGATAATGATAATCACACACACAACAACCTTTATTTTATTTTTATAAAATTATTAAATTATTTTTGATATAAGGGAGAAAGAGAGAACTAATGCATGTGTATGTATGTATGTGTGTGTGATGGTACTAGTTGAGGATATGATTTTTTTTTTTTTTTCTTTTCAATTTGTGACAGTGTGTGTTAAAGGAGAAATAATGTGGGTGTGTGAGTATTGCTAATGATCATACTGCTGATTTTAAATGTTATTTGTATTATCATAATGCATTAATTAAAGAAAAGAAAAAAAAAACCAGCAATAAGAACAAAAACAAAAACTCTAAATTATTTTTGTTATTATTATTATTGTTATTGCTGTATTAAAAATTATTAACAACTTGTTGTACAAATAACATAATAAATTATTATTTTTGTTTAACCCACCATTTCACTATTCTATTTATTAATAAATTAATAATTATTTACTAGTGTATGCTATACACCATCCCCCAAACACATAAATATTCACCCACACATAAATAACCATATTATTTCTAAACAACAAAAATAAAATAAGGCACTTTATTTTTTTTAATTAAATATTTAATAAATGAAACAAAAATAAAAATAAAAATAAAAATAATAAAGGAATAAAAATAATAATAATAATAATACTATATATGTACTTTATATATTTATTAATACTGATTATGATTATTTAAATAATATATCAAGTATAAATTAATTTACAAAATATAATTTTATACATGCGCATATACCATCTAAACTTTAAATTTATTTATTTATTTATTTATTTGTTTTTTTGTTTATTTATTATTATTTATTATTTTATTATTCCTTTCAAAAAATATAGGATCAAATTAAGAATAAAGATATTTAAAAAATTTATAAAAACTAATTTTTTGTATATTTGTTGTTGTTATTTTTAACTCCCCCACCACCACCAACACAAAAACAATTATACGTTAATGATGATCTATAAGTAATATTATAAATTTATAAAGTATAAAAAAATATGGACTATATATTATAATTAATTACTATTTTAAACAAATATAAATTATTGATTTATTGATTGATTTATTTATTTAATTATTTTATTTAAATTTCCACATCTGGGAGGTAAGGGGATTAATAATGTTTTAATAATAAAATGATGATGATGATGAAAAAGATAAACTTTAATAAAAAATATTAATTTTAATTTAAAATTGGTACTTTTAAAACTGCGTTATTATTAATCTTTAAATTACTTTATAAAAAAAAAAAAAAAAAAAAAAAAGGAAAGCCCCCAAGTAAATTATGAAACATATTTAAAGATTTTTACATTTATCTTCTTTAAATATGGTTCGGGAATAGTGCCATGTGGATAATATATTGAGTTATTTATAATTTAAAAAAAAAATAATAAAAAACCAAGGGGGTGGTTTGGAAATAATTTTTTTATAAAAAAAAAAAAGAAAAAATAATTTTTAAAAGCCCTCATTATATCCACCCCAACTTT